GGACCTTCTAGGTACCTGAAAGGGCCCTTTGTTTTCTCTCCAGGGGCCCTTGTTTACCTCAAAAGGTCCTCTTTTACTTCAGATGGCCGTATGTTTGTCTAATACATGAGGCCCCTGGTGGCCTGAGAGGCCCTGTTTGTGTCCCAAAGGGCCCTTTGTTGACCTCTTAAGGCCCCTAGTTGGCCTAAAAAGTCCTCTGATTGTTCTAAAGGGCCCTCTGTTCCCCTCAGAGGGCCAGTCTTTTCCTCAGAGTGCCTGCTGACCTCATAGAGCCCATAGTGGCCTGACATAGCCTTCATATCACCTCAGAGGGCCCTCTGTTGTAAGGCTCAAGTGACCTTCTCAGAGGGCTCCGGCTGCCCTGTGACTGACAATTGTCCACTCTTATCCCCCTTTTGGGTGACCTATTTTCCCCTCTGACACCCAAGCCAAAATACAATTTTGGGACACTGACTCCGAGGGCCAGTTGATTTTCAGAGGGCCCTCTTTGAAGTGGATGTGAGGACCCGCTATTCGCCTCAGAGGGCCCTCTGGTGGCTTCAGACTTCAGAGGACCCTATTTTGGTATCAGCGGGCGCCTCTCTGTGGCATCAGAGGGCCCTCAGAGGCCTCAAATGGCCTTATTACATCTCAGAGAGCTGTCTTTGAACTCAGAGGGATCTTTTTTACTTCTTTGTGGTGTCTAAGGGGGGCCCTCTGGCCTTTGTTCGCCTCAAGGGGCCTCAAGGGGTCCTCCGATGACTTCCAAGGACCCTCTTTGATCTCAGAGGGCCTGATGACCTCATAGGGCTCATGGTGGTCTGACATAGCATCATATCACCTCAGAAGGCCCTCCAGTGGCCTGAGAGGGCACTTTGTGGCCTTTGAAGGCCCTCCATTCGCCTTAGAGGGCCCTCTTTGATCTCTTTGATATCTTCGATCTCAGAGGGCCCTCTTTGAGGTGGCTGTGAGGGCCCTTTGTTCACCTCAGAGGGCCCTCTGGTGACCTCCAGGGACCATCTTTAATCTAAGAGGGCCGTCTGGTGGCCTCATAGGATACCTTGTGGCCTGAAATTGACCCTCGTACCTCAGAGGCCCTTCTGTTCGTCTTAACAGGCCCTCTGCTGGTCTTAGCGGACCTTTTGTGTGCCTGGGAGGGCCCCCTGAGTACCTGAGAGGGCCCTCTGTGTGTTTGAGAGGGCCCTCTGTGTGCCTGAAAGGGCCCTCTGTGTAGTTTGCCTGAGAGGGCCCTCTGTGTGCCTGAGGGGGCCCTATGTGTACCTGAGAGCGTCCTCTGTGTGGCTGAGAGGGCCCTCTGTGTGTCTCAGAGGACCATATGTGTACCTGAGAGGGCCCTCTGTGTGTCTGAGAGGGCCCTTTGTGTGTCTCAGAGGGCCTTGTGTGCCTGAGAGGGCCTCCTGTGTGCCTGAGAGGGCCCTCTGTGTGTTTGAGAGGGCCCTCTATGTGCCTGAAAGGGCCCTCTGTGTACCTGAGAGGGCCCTCCGTGTGTTTTAGAGGGCCCTCTGTGTGCCTGAAAGGGCCCTCTGTGTACCTGAGAGGGCCCTCTGTTTGCCTCAGGGGGCCCTCTGTTTGCCTGAAGGGCCCTCTGTGTGCCTGAGGGGGCCCTATGTGTGCCTGAGAGGGCCCTCTGTGAGCCTGAGAGGCCCCTCTGTGTACCTGAGAGGGCCCTCTGTGTGTCTCAGAGGACCATATGTGTACCTGAGAGGGCCCTCTGTGTGTCTGAGGGGGCCCTATGTGTGCCTGAGAGGGCCCTCTGTGAGCCTGAGAGGGCCCTCTGTGTGCCTGATAGGGCCCTCTGTGTACCTGAGAGGGCCCTCTGAGTGCCTTAGAGGGCCCTCTGAGTGCCTGAGAGGGCCCTCTGAGTGCCTGAGAGGGCCCTCTGGGCTCTGGCCCCCGTTCGTCTCAGAGGGTCCCTTTATTCGCCCCTTTAGAGGGCCGAATAAAGGGACCCTTTAGAGGGCCCTCTGTTTGCCTCAAAGGGCCCTCCGTTTGCCTAAAAGGACCCCGTATTCGCCTCAGAGGGCCCTTTGGTAACCACAGGGGGCTCTATCGTTGCATTGGAGGGCCCTCTGTTGCCTCCGAGGGCCCTTTTTATCTCAGAGGACCCTCTTTGACCTCAGAGGGCTCTTTTCGACCTATTCGAGATGTCTGAGAGGGCCCTCTGAGTGCTTGAGAGGGCCCTCTGAGTGCCTGAGAGGGCCCTCTGAGTGCCTGAGAGGGCCCTCTGAGTGCCTGAGAGGGCCCTCTGAGTGCCTGAGAGGGCCCTCTGAGTGCTTGGGAGGGCCCTCTGAGTGTCTGAGAGGGCCCTCTGAGTGCCTGAGAGGGCTCTCTGGGCTCTGGCCCCCTTTCGTCTCAGAGGGTCCCTTTATTCGCCACTTTAGAGGGCCCTCTGTTTGCCTCAAAGGGCCCTCTGTTTGCCTAAAAGGACCCCTATTCGCCTCAGAGGGCCCTTTGGTGACCACAGGGGCTCTATTGTTGCATTGTAGGGCCCTCTGTTGCCTCCGAGGGCCCTTTTTGATCTCAGAGGGCCCTCTTTGAGCTCAGAGGGCTCTTTTCGACCTCTTCAAGATGTCTGAGAGGGCCCTCGGACCTGAGAGGGCCCTCTGAGTGCTTGAGAGGGCCCTCTGAGTGCCTGAGAGGGCCCTCTGAGTGCCTGAGAGGGCCCTCTGAGTGCCTGAGAGGGCCCTCTGAGTGCCTGAGAGGGCCCTCTGAGTGCCTGAGAGGGCCCTCTGTGTGTCTGAGAGGGCCCTCTGAGTGCCTGAGAGGGCCCTCTGAGTGCCTGAGAGGGCCCTCTGTGTGTCTGAGAGGGCCATCTGTGTGCCTGAGAAGGTCCTGTTCGTTGTAAAGGGCCCTTAATTTACTCTACAAGGTCCCTCGTTGGCCTAAAGGGGTCCTCTGATAGTCCTAAAAGGGTCCCTAGAAATGTAATTGATACTTTTCATTATGTAAAAAAAAATGTAAGTGGTGAAAAGGGCCCTCAAAGTGTTTTCAATTTTTTTCGAGTAAAAAAAAAATTTTTTTTTGCTCCAGGGGGGACCCTAGGACCCCCAGGGTCCCCCCTTGGATACGCCACTGGTTGTGACCGTCATGAGCCTCCTTTATTTTGTATTCTGTATAATGTAACTGGATGCCTTTACTAATATGGTCTTTGTATAAGATTGTTTGTTTCTAACCATACTTTGGTATTCATAACTTCTTATGAAAGAAAGTTGTTAACATTTTGAGCACCTATGTATGAGCTATGATCCCAACGGATCTCACGACAAAATTGGGGAGCCAGATCTATGATCCGAGTGGATCTAGCGACAAAATTGAAGGGTCAGATCTATGATCCCAGTAGATCTCTCGACAAAATTGAGGGGTTGGATCTATGATCTGAATGGATCTCGGATCGGGATCCATGGGATCGGATCTCAGATCCATTTTTCCGGATCCAAGCACATGTCTGACCACGACACCTGTAATGTAAGAGCTGGAAGCCTCTGAGACATTCTAAGCTATCATCAGGTCCAATGACTTGCCTCAGCCTGACTTGGCCGTGGTCGACTTAGCCCAATGATTCTTCCATAATGTATAATCCCTCGACCCCGAAATGGTCTAAATTGATCGAAAGACTGTAAACCAGTGTTCGCCACGGGCCGCAAAATCCCAGTCCCGCCGAGCCCAAACACATGGGTTCACAGCCCGGCCCAGCCCGAGCCCATTCATGGTAAAAGTGTCAAAGCCCAGACCGGCCCAGCCCGTCAAAAACGAATGGATTAAAAATTATTTATTGACACCACACAGGTATCCAAAGGTAGCAAAGAAACAATCTTTTGCGAGCAGCATGCACAACGCGCATTTCATGCGTGCTTTATTAACTCGTTTTTGAGTCTTGCAAAGTAATAAGCTATGCAGTTATAGTTTTTGTATCTATTGCGAACCCCTGACTCCACTTTACAGTTCCTGGCCCAGCCCATCCAAAGCCCATCGATCCTTTATATTTTAGGGCCCAGCCCAGCCCGTAGCCCAGCCCAGCCTATGGCCCATTGGGCTTGCCCGGCCCATGGCGAACACTGCTGTTAACTAACAAAGCAAGCAGAGACCATCCATGAGCATTATTCCATATCCATTCCATATATTTCATATCCTTCATCTCATTGTTTTGTCCGTCTATTCATGAAATTGAGCATTGGCGGTGGAACACCTTCAATTAAGGGGGGGGGGGGCACTGCCGACTTTTGGTCCCATTCTTTCCATGCAACCAGCAACGCTCATAGCGCTAATGTTAAAATGCTAAAATCAAAGGGGGGCACGGTGCCCCGGTGCCCTCCCCCCCCCCCCGTTCCGCCGCCTATAAAATTGAAATCGTCTACATAAGAAATCGTCTACGTCTCAATAACCCGTATAAGAAAATATCCGCACGCCGATGATAAACTTTCCGCACAAGCTCTGATTTGGCTGGCATTGCCGGTCAATGGTACTCTGTCTCTTTGTCTCTTTGGGCACACAGCCCGTACAGCCCAGCCTGTACGGGCTGTGCGCGGGCTGTTTACGGGGTAATGCCCAGTGATTATAGTTCGCGGGGATGGGTTGAATTCCAAGGTGTTTACCTACATTATGGCACCGCATTCCGGGGAAGAGCGAAAAGACGCGAGGGAGAGGGAGAGAGAGAGAGAAAGAGAGAGAGGGGAGAGAGATGGGGAGGGAAAGAGAGAGATGGGGAGGGAAAGAGAGAGATGGGGAGGGAAAGAGAGAGATGGGGAGGGAAAGAGAGAGATGGGGAGGGAGAGAGAGGGAGAGAAAGAGAGAGAGAGAGAGAGAGAGAGAGAGAGAGAGAGAGAGAGAGAGAGAGAGAGAGAGAGAGAGAGAGAGAGAGAGAAAGAGAGAGAGAGAGCTTATCTGGATCTTCTCTAGCCGTGCCGTGGTAGGGAAGGCTTTTTGATGCAAAACAGCTTGAACTTGGAAAGTACTTGGTCCAGGTTTTTATTTACCCTTTATCCTCTATGTCATTTCGGTGTTATATCCACGCATGGTATTTCGTATGTTGAATAATGAATTTGCTATATGAATCAAATATAAGCCAACTTTAAATGGATAACTCTAAACACTTCTGCACCTGAATTTAATGCAATCATTCTGCTCATTGGATTTGGGATCGATTTGACATTGGATTTGAGCGTGCAATCCATGTCACCTACTGTTTCCGTCGTAATTGAATAGGTGATATTGACAACACAATTCCATGCATTGGCAACGCAAATTCATGTCAACCTTACCCACAAAGCCATTACACCACACGAAATATTATATTTGCATATCTGTGAATCTACACGCGCAACATATTGTAAGACAGCTATTCATAGCTTGTTTAGCGTAACAACAGGCAAAATAATTGCGAACCATTAGATAAAAGTCACTTCCAACTGTATACTGAGATCCGGTCAGTACCATGTCGAGACACAAATAATGAAGCAGTTTTTTACTTGGCACAGGCCATAGCGAGCCAATTTGCCGCCAAGTCTTCTGTCATTTATCGGAAATACGTGTGCACGTGAATTCGTATTGTGGATGAATAGTCCTATTCGCTCGGTATTTCTAAGCGTTCGAAAGGCATTCTTGCCCTTCTCATGTGCTCGCAGTCATTGTATTGTGTAGTATGTTGACTGGGCAACTCATATAACAGTCACCTGTCGAAAGGCCTAACAAACACAAACCGCCAACAGTGTCAGTAGCCCCGAGAACACCGATAAGTCTCAGTTTAACCACCTATTCACCACAATACATGTCAATACATACATGGGCCCATCATCTCCACCTGCTGGGCCGGGCAGGGAGGCAGGGTGGACAGGTCGGCGCGGCAGTCGAGCCGGTACCGCGCCACCGTGAAGCTCAGGTCAGTGTAGGTCACCGTGGAGGTCACGGTGATCTCGTACCGGTGACGGTTCCGCCGGCGGTGGCCCAGCAGCAGGAGGCGCGCTCGCTCCAAACCATCTGGAATGGCAGAGGTGTGCAGGATGAGACATAGACCATACTGTAATTAGAGCACATAAAATATACCATTGGTCAATTTGAAAATGTGTTATTGTTGTTCCTGTGAGGTACAGATTCAATTAATTTGATTCGGGAAAATGTATAAAAAGAGTATGATACAGCAAGAAAATGCGAAGGATATACATGATCCAGGAAATGCCAACTTCATACTTCGTCACACCGCTATGTTTTACTGATTGACATTGCTGCTGAAAACGGTGTATGACAAGTACCACATGAAATGACTCATTCTGAACCTTCCTCACATCGCAACGGCCACCATCCTGGTCACCTACTCACTCATCTGATCAGAGGCAGTAGCGGGGTCAGACTCCTCCAGCTCCTGCTGGGAGCTCTGGAGCTGGATGGCGGAACGAAGACTCTCCTCCAGTTCGTCAGAATCAGGGGCATCCTCGGCCTCAGGACTCTTAGATGAAGGCGGCTGAGAAGTCTCTTCTTGGTCCGCTGCAGTATCCGGCTCTTCTCGATCGAAGGACTCGTGCTTGCTGTTGTTGTTGATGCTGATGTGGCTCTCGTTGTTTCCGTGGTTGTTTGCATTCTCCTTTTCAGCTATCTTTTGCTGATCTTCACCACCGAGCTCATCGTTTTCATTTTGCTTTGCAGGTATATCCTCCATAAAGTTTTTGTTGACATCAACACCGATCTGAATATCCTCCTGAACTTCAGCAGCATCTTTTTCGGCTGTTTCAAACATATCGGTGTTATTTTCCCCGGAAGCATCTTGATTATCCGTTTTCTCTACGCTAATGCCGCCATGAATATCTACAATATCCGTTAAATCGTATTCCTCACTGCCTGAACCTTCAACTTGCGCTGATTCTTGTTTGCCAACATGCTCCGGAGAAGGCCACCGATCCGGCAGTAAATCGCTAGACCACATTACGGCACTATCCTCGTCTTCCGAAGCGCCAGATCCTGAGCTCTCGGACTGTTCGGCAGTTGCCTCGTGACTGGTGTCGCCAGATGATTCCAGAGGGACGAAGAAGATGGGTGTGTCGACTGCGTCCGGCTCTCCATGAAGCATGTCGTGTTCTCCGCTACCGGAGCCTGCTTCTCCACTGACGATATCCTTTTCTGCAGTGCTCATGTCCTTATCTCCACTGGCCATATCATCTTCTTCGTGAGCAAAATGGTTTTCTTCTTTGGCTGTATCGTGTTCTTCGTTAACCATGTCTTGCTCCCCGCTGCCCAACTCCTTTTCGTCATCATCTTTGTCCTGTTCCCCACTCCCAATGTCATCTACATGGCCAGCTTCATGTCCCTCATTGTTTATGTCATGCTCACCACTGCCTTCTTCGTCTTCTGTTTTTAAACCACTCTCAACAATGATGTCTTTGGCTGGTGAGGGAGTACCAAGCCGCACCATATCAGCAACCACTGGATCAATTTGCATGTCTGAGATTTCAGTACCGCTAACTGAATCAGGATGTGTTATTTCTGAGTCAATGTGTGCGTCTGGTTCACTGTCTGTTTGCGAGTTTATTTCCTCCAGTGATGCTGTTGCAATTTCCGAGTCATGCTCCGCCTCCAGCTCCACGTTAGTGTCTGATTCTGAGTCTGTACCTGTCTGCGATTTATTATAGATCTCAGAGTCCTTTGCTGCCAGAGTGGTGATGTCTGCGGGCAAATCCGTGCTCACACTTATATCAGACTCTGCATGTTCTTCGTGTGTAATCTCTCCAGACGTATCAGGCTCTGGCTGCTCCGTCTCAGCCAGTGTGAGCGCATTTTTCTCTTCTTCTGGCGCAATGTTGACCTCTGACTGCTCCTTTGTGTCTATTTCTGAGTCAATATCTTCAATATCTTCCTCTGTGTCTGCTCCTGAGTCGATGTCCCCAGCAACCGCCACTTTAACCCTTGTATGCTCCTGTGCTTCTGTGTTAGTATCTATTTTCTGCGTCTCCGCTACAGGCTCTGTCTGAGGCGCCGGTTTCACATCACCGTCGACACCCTGATCTTCCACGTCCCCACTCTTCAAAATAACCTTATGGACATCCCCAGCGTCCACCGAACTGCTGCCGGGAGGGATGGTCTCGATGGTCACTCGATCTGTCTCGATAACGGTCGGCCTCGGCCCAGACACTCTGTTTGTGTTCGTGTTTGTGTTTGTGTTTGTGTTTGTGTTTGTGACCGGACGTCGGCGATTCGGACGGCTTTTCGCCGGAGCTGATGCGACGGGGGCCGGCTTCTGAGAGGCCGTCCTCACGGGAGATGACGTCCGCCGTCTCGCGCCGCAGCCCTGTATAAATTGGACAAAAGGGTTAGCATCAGTAGTTTAAAGGGCATCTCAATTAGCAACTCTAAACTTTTTGATACTTTGACTGAATACTATCTTAGTGGCAAACCAATGATGCGTGGGGTAAGGCGAAGAAACAATTCGTATTTTGATCAGTTACTCACTTTTTGAATTGAGCGTTGTATCTGACAGCTTGCCATGGGAGACAAATAATTCATCTAAATTTTTCGTTTTTGTTCGATTTAGTTTTTCCAACCTCGGACTAATAAGCTAAACCGAGCATATCTTAGCATTAAATTATCACTAATTCATTGACGAACTTGTAATAGGTCCGGCTATAAACTGACGGATTAATTTTGATACACAAGTCTACACAAGTGACACGTGCGAAGTCATTTAAACGAGAAATAGTTTCGGCAAGCGATAAATGCATAATTCAAACTTACGTCATCTGTGGAAGGAACAGTCGGCATTTGAGTAGTTCGGCAACGGTTGTCTAAAAAAAAACACGACGGTTTTTAATTGAGAATGCGCACTGACAATGCTAAATAAACACACGAAGGCTGTCTAATTATTCTAACACCAAGCAAGGTTGCCGATGCTCCTTTAGCACATATCCTTCCGATATACACGCATAGATCTGTTGGGTGGCTCGAACAACCAAGGCTGAAGCCAATTCTTTTTGCAGTCAGGAAATCGCATGTGAGAGCCTATTCAAATGCAACTTATCAATTGAACGCAAGGAGCGAGCGTAAAGCAGTTCGATCGATGCCAGCGCAATTAAATATGAATAGGCTCTCGCATACAAATTCCTGACTGCGGGAACAGCCTGTTGTAACCTTTAGAGTCTGATATAAGTTAAAGTCAGTTAGGAATTGCATAAAATCATATTAACACGTTATACGATGGAAGTATTTTAGAAGAAAATAAACTTGTGGATATGTAAATATGTTGATTATTTTGAACAAAAAAATGTTGGGCAAAATTAAGTTCCGTTATTCAAAGTTAAACACTGCTTTACCACAATGCACACTTACTCGTATCGTCGCACAAGAAGGGCTTGGTGACGGTGACCAGTGACGTCAAGGTGTGGTGGGTGATGTAAACTCGCCACGGCAGCAGAAAGCCGCGCGGATCCACACCGCCCTCTGGCAAAATAACGTCATGGACGGGGGGCGTTAGTTAAGTCAATATTATATAAGACATTGGAATATCGGGTTATTGTAGAAAGACGCACAATGCAAAAAATGGATGTAATACCTATACCAACATTACAAAATATCATAAATTTTACCATGACACAAAACAAAACAACCTCTGCATTTCAAATAACCATCATAATTGATTTATCACCTCCTTTGCTTCTATATCGATAGAGAAAAGGAAAGGGTGATTTGTCAACAACCAACATATTTCTTGCGTTCTCGTAAAATAAACCATTTCCTCAGTCCCAGACCTCAAAGCGATTCGCTGGGGTTGCTGAGCAAACCAGTCCCACTAGAGTGTGAAAAGGATAATATTTTCTGATACCTTACAAACCGACGGATAAGCTGCAATAAAAGTTCCATTCAAAACATTTTTGAATGCCACTCACCATCACTGACGGAGGGATGCAGGGTAGGCACTCCGAGGGCGACCGAGCGTACACCTTCCGGCCCAGCGATGACCCCAAGCAGCACCGCTAGCAGGACGGCCCTCATGGTCACCATCTCCTTACGACAGAGGGGTAACCGGCAGACTGGGCTGCGTGGGGATCTCGAGTCCTCTCACCTGGTTACGGTCGGTGAACTTTCCTCTTCATCAGACTGAGGGATAGCCTCGGGGCTCGCCTCAGGATACTGGTGGGAGAAAGGGCGGCAGCAGTGGCAGGGCCCTCTCGCGAAAACAACCCACCGGCCCTTCAAAACATTCCTCCGCCGGCCGCGATGGCCGCACGAGAAAGACCCGCTGAGGATGGCGCCGGCGGAGAGGCGAATCATTGGTATTTGATTGGTAATGGAGCATAAGCGGACATAAAAAAAAGATATTTTGTTCGAATCGATGAATGGGTGGCTTTGGGCTTACGCTAAGACACTATACGAATCCACTTTGCTGGCTCCCAGTTCATAGGACCTGGCTTTACGGAACATTGTATGCATGTATGCATGCATGTATTACCATCATGGACAATCCACACGGGGCGTGGCGTGGCGTTGTTTATGTAATGATAGGTAGAATTGTTCAAACGAAATATTTTGAGTGCATATTCGATGCAACACCGATATGCTGTTTGCGTTATCCGTCCCTTCGGGCTGGCTGGCGCGAGTGTCATATCTTTTTACCATGTGTATTGCAAGTGTGGCGCCGTTTTGCACCAAGTTGTATCGTCGAAAAAAAGTTATCGTCGCCCGAATGTCAACAAAAAGAGGATCTACCATGGTTTCCTTCCTGGCTCAATCAAATCCGACATCTTAAGATGAACGTATTAACGGATTGACCTGCAGAAACTATGAGATGCATAACATAGGCACTACCGTCAGAACATTCTAAGTCTATTTTTTCACAACGTGATATACCCTGACCGAACACAGTCAAGAGCATGGCACTTCTAAAACAAACACTACGCCTCGATAGTGCTTCTATCCTCGTTTAGATCGTTATCGGATTTTGCGAACGGTTGTATTTCCGATTTCCAGAAGAGTAAGATGATGACGTCCATGGCGATACTCATGACAACTGCGATCAAAAAGAAGTACCGCCATTCTTGCAACGTTTTCTGAAAGTAAAGGGGCGATTAATGCCGAAATTTTCATGATAGAGCAGCAAAATATTTATATCAAAGCCAATTACCGATCAGTACAACTACGAGGCATGCGGACGATAAAACGCTACTTGTAATGCAACAACATTTAATGTTTTAACATTACACGGTAACGTTTTACCATTAAAGCGGCCTTATCTCAAGAGAGGACAAAATCATGGCGCACGATTATGAAAAGAGTTGGAAAACCACACCCATTGGCATTGTGCATTGGGCAATGCCTAACAGACTGGGCTAAGAAGTTATGCATGCTTTCTCTCCGCAGTTTGACTCACGTTAGGTGTCATCGCAGCAGCCACGGTGGGCGCCAGGACCCCGGTGAGGTTTCCAATGGACCCCGAGAGGCCCCAGATGACCCCAGCGAACTGAGGGGCGATGTCGGGGCCCGCGGACAGGGGACCTGAAACAGATGACTTATAAAGTCTATGTAGAATTTAGAAGCTCGAACGACGTGCTTGACGGTGCTCTGGATAAGTTGAACCAGATAATCAGAGAAATGTCGAAGCACTTATTTGGACAAGCCTAAATGCAAAAAAAAAAAACACATAACAAATGGTGCGAGGTTTTAACTGGCTTTACAAAAAAAATCCTTTCCGTTGAATCGTCGTGTTCCAGTTAACAATCAAACAAACCATTAAAGGGACCCTCCCACCTTCAAAAAAAATAATGAATTGGCACGAAAGTGATGTCGCTCGGTTCAGAAAGAGCGAAAACGAATATCTACCAAATTTCATCGAAAAATATTCACCGGTTTTCAAGATATTAGACTTTTACTTTTGTTTACTTTTTGGATCTCCGCTGTTCCTAGCGGCTTTATTTGAAAGTGCGGCATTTGTTGCGCGCAAAGCAGCATATACCACCGCGTGCTACCAAACGTTTTAGTAAAAGATTTAAAAATCGTTAGATCTCCGCTGACGTCACAAATTCTAAGGGGGCATACCAATGCACTAGCCCCTTAGAATCCGAAAACTGCAAGTTTGAAATTCCATATCTCCGAATTAAAGCATTTGTCGATGTTGTGAGTGCCCAAACCGGTATTTGCAGGCCATGGCCACCAATTTGGCTATCTCAACTCAAAACTAATGTTAAGGTGGGAGTGTCCCTTTAAGCCCTGCCCTTTATATCGCTGTTTTCGTTCTCACCTCCCGACACGCAGAGGACAGAGATGGTATTGCTGCAGACCAGTAGAACCATGGTCAGGTAGGGTCTCCCAGGCGGTATGAGCAAGATGGCGCCCAATAGCACGGCTGGCACAACCATCGCTGCAAACAGACCACGAACATGTAAAATGCAGAGTAGTCATTTCATCTGACTTTCTCTCTTTTCATGCAGTCTATCCCTTGTTCTCCTGCTTTTTAACCTACTTGGTAAAATTGTTTTTGAATGAATTAAAATTGTTTTTGAATGAATTTGAAACGAATTAAGAACTGCTTGGTAAAATTACCAAAACAAAATCATAGTCCACCAAAATGGTTGAAGGCTCTGTTTGACACAAATCTACTCACATATTGTCGCCATTGTTTTGCGGGCGTTCGTGCGAGTGAAGTGCCACTTGGTGAGCAGCTGTTGGAATATTTTCCCTCCAGCCAGTACGCCGAGCGTCATGGACATCACGGGAAGACCCGAGAGAATTCCATTCTGTAAACGGGTGGTAAAACAGACGCAATTAATTTCCCTTTCGTTTCATAGATGTGTCCTAAAACCATCAAATAACATTTCATACTAATTCACGGATGACAAATACTACACAACGAATCGCTTATTCAAGGGTGCGAAGCGGGAGCCAGAGCCACTGTGCATTGCGCAGCTTCTACACAGCTGTCCGAAGTTAGAGAAGTGCTGGGACATTTTTAGAGTTACCCGGTACAGTCTATGTAAGCTTACGGCTCCGTATCTCTGACTGCAACATAAGCGTTCTTTGCACTATGAAACATTCAGAACGTTTCATCAGTTATGAAAGTTTGCCAGGACAATGTTAAACTCGCATGCAATTTCTGCACAGAAATGACGTAACAATCAGCTGACCTCTGTCAGTCGGACGCCCATGGTCTCCTTCAGGAAGGTCGGCAGTGTAATGTTGAGGGCGAAGTAGAACCAGCTGTGACTGAAGAAGGTGAAGACGATGATCCACACCTGCACGTTTGTCAGGATCGCCCAGAGAGGCGTGGCCGGTCGCTGGACCTGCCGTAAGACAATAAGGAGGTTACGTGCGAGTGCCCGAAGCGTTGGAAAAAATCAATTTTGCTTACCTTTTGCTTTAAAATTTCACTCGTTTGCGCTTTTCGGCTCACCTACACTAATTATTCGTTACTCCGAGCCCTCGAATAGCGTTGGGTTAAACCGCGCAATGAATTTTCTCCACGTAACAAAAAGTAAGTTCATGCGCCTTTCTAAAGAGAGCTCAACAAAGATGTATACTTGAAGCGTATCAACAAGCTTTGCAGTTACTATTTCTTAAATGCTATTTTTATCTCATGTCCCTGACAATGCTCACGCTTTTATCCGAAAAAGACTTGGTTGACTCGATTCTGCACAGCCGTTTGCACGCCAGGTAGCGCTTCTCGTCCTCCGAACAGATGGAGCTGTCATCGGGGGAGCTGGTCAGGACGAACGAGGCAATCGCCACCCACAACAGTGGTAGGGCACCTGAGAAAAGCGCAGACGAGAATAATTGGAGGGTCAGTCATTATTCCAGAGCCAGTTCAGATTTAGTTCAATGTTTGTTTGTTTAACCCAAGATTCGTCATGAAACTCTTCTTAACCCGGCAGTTGCTGGGGTATTTCGCCACCCACCGTTTGCTGGGGGCGGGGGGGGGGGCGTTAAACGCCCCCAGCCGATAACTCGAGAACCAATAGGCGCAGCGAAACGCACGAGGCGGCAAACGAAAGAACGCGACGAGACGCTTCAGATGAGTACTTTAAAGTTGAATTTTGAGGTCACAGGTCGGGTCAAGGTCAGGTCAAACACCTGAAATCGGGCTTTCAGTAGCATGGACTTCAGAACCTCGCAATGGGCGCCTCTCGTCATAAACTCTGTCAAAACGGTGCACAATCCATCATATAAGGCCTACAAGAGTGTCAGCTCCATGTAGGGGTCAGTCAAGCATAGGTCAGGGTCAAGGTCAGGTCAACCGGGTAGGCACATATCCCCCAAAATCAAAACTGATATTCGCAGCCTGTGACACATGTTTTATGGGTAATTTGGGGCGTAGAACACGATGGTGACATTCATTTTATCATATGTGTACGCGTTTGGCTCAAAAAGTTAAATTTAAGAAATGCATGTATCATGGTCGTGAGGTAGTCACGAGAAATTGCCAAGATTCAGTTCAAGATTTTGGAAAATGCGGAGCGATAATCAATAATCGAAGATAACCATTTAATTGTTCATGGTATTGGCAGTTTAATGGCGTTTACGGCATGTCTGTATGTCTTTTCTGTGATTTTATATGATTTTTTGAACATATGCCGTTTTTGGTCGAAAACTCAGAAATCATGACGTCACTAAAACCTCGATATCTCAAAAATTTTCCGACCGATTTTTTTGAAACTTTGTCACAATAAACTTCAATCAATTCCCTACAGGTACCCAAAATTTGGCGCGCCTGCGGCGCGCCGTTTTTATGCTATGGCCCGGCGAAAAAAGTGGGGGTGTTTAACGCCCCCCCCCAGCAACTCGCGGGTTAATGAAAATACAAATATTATATCACTGAAGCATTACCCATTTGATTGATTGATGGATAAACGAATAGCTAACGGAATTCGTTTAGCGGAATAATTGATCAGCTAAAATACTATTGCTAATTCATAACGGTTTTATTGCCTTGATCAATGTTGAATTCTAAGCTACCGATGCTACGAAGTGTCCCCGTGTTGTCATATACCTGTGACGTAACTATACCTGTGACGTCATACCTGTGACGTAGAAGACGAGCGGCCAGCCTCCCGCCTGGCAGATGGAGCTGGATATGGGGTAGGCGGCGCCGGCAAACAGGTACTGGATCGAGAAACAGACCGCGAACGCCGTGGCGTATTCTACTGGCACGCTCCAGTTTCGGATGAACACCGTGGCGGCCGGGAGAACCACCGACTGTAGGGACAGAGGTCACATGGCTAGGGGTCAAATTAAGGTCAGATAAAGGTCATACAGAGGTTACACAGGGAGGTCAGACAGGTCAAACAAAGATCTTGCTGTGGTCATGCAAAAATCGCACAGGTCGTAAAAAATCACACAAATGCCATGCATTGATCAGATACAGATCATGCTGAAGTATCCGAAAGAAATCAATTAGAAGGGTCAGAGATATCACAGAGCTCATAGAGGTGGTAAATATTCTACACCTTGTCAACGTAATTGCGAACTGACGGACTAACAGAAAAAACACAAGAAAGGCAATCAATTATCGGCACTTACGCAACAGAGACCCATGAAGGCCCTCAGTGCCAGCAGGAGGTAGTCGTTAGTGCGCGCGACGACAGGAAAGGCCAGGGTGCACAGGCCCTGGGAGGCGATACCGGCCAAAATCAACGTCACGACCGGGAGCCTGTGCAGGAGACAAATAAAAGTTAAAATACGGTCAGAATATTATGTCCTGGCGGTGACTGCAGTCAGATTATCACACCATTCTCACCCAATCTGATGGGATGTTTGATTTGTCTGTTTTTTTTTTTTTAGCAGAAGATGATCAAATAGGGACGGGTACACAGTGAATTATTTGGTATTGCCTGTAAGTCAAACAAATAATTCTTAGCAACAAAATTTATCACAGACAAGAACCTTGGACAAGGGCATTTGTTTTTAGCCCATTATCTCGCGTTGAACGGTCACGTTTTGATACACTTAGAACACCGAATGTCATTTATCTACATAATGTTTGCGGAAACGTGACGTTAAATACATTTCTAGCACACACCTACGCCATTTCAGTGACGCAGTAGCGCCCAGAGTCAGACAACAACAGCTGAAGGTATGGATCGTCAGGAACGATCCAGAAACATCGGCCAGCTCCAGCTGTCGACCTGTGTCCGCATTGATTTGAGGTGACCTTATCTGTGGGGCTCCTTGCGCCTTGAGTATTGGTGACTGGTGATCTCACCTTTGGGACGTCTTTATCAACATCAGTACCAAATTCGTGGCCTCTCGTGCCAGTATTGATAGACCGGTGACCTCACCTCTCGCCTCACTTGCTGATGACCTGAAGTTTGGTCTTTTGGACTCTTCCCGCCTAGGCATGTTATATGTATGAACAGATACGTCAAAGCATACTTCATACAAAACATGTAAGCTTTTTCGAAAATTTCCTCTGGAAGTCTCGCTATCCTTTCATTGCAACTTAATTTCAAATACATTTGCCTCAAAACTGCACTAATTGCAAGTAAATCACGTTTCATCGAAATTATTTTCATCATCGTCACCATGAATAACTCTGGCGCTGGAGCAAGGAGCCTGACCAGCAACAAGCTTCGCTTAGCTGGAAAGGCTTTTCTGCCCTCAGCATTGACCGGCCGAATTTTTGACCAGAGCGAATCCCCACGTATGTTTGCATGACGTGTGAATGAGCGATTGTTTTTTCTACTCTAGATGAATGCATGCCCTTCTGAGTGAAAGTTGCTTTCGGTATCGTAGTAGAGAACAGTCATCTGTCTGGTTTCAGCAGTGGCTACTTTCGCATTCTGTTCTTGTCTCCGCCTAAACCCGCTACCCCTTCCCTCATTTGCTTTTATGAGTTTTGTTTCCTTTCTTAGCAGGGAGTGCCGCGACTTATCAGTTTATTTTATCTGGTGTTAACGTAAGGTTCTGCTAGTCGCTGGGTTTGAGGGCGGGGGCACTCCTGGTCACCTGATCATGGGTGGCGGAGTAGTTCAAAAAAAAAAAAATGTATGTGACCGTTGCGCATGCCTTTGTGACATCTGATAATTCAGTATCGTTACATAACCAGTGACCTCTCATGACATTTCTGACGAGCTGAGCCCTCACCTGTCGGCCAGCCACCCAGCCGGTACCAGTGCCGCTGTGTAGCCGTAGAAATAGCTGGACAGCAGCAGGCCCTGGAACGTCTTGTCCCACTGGAACTCACCCTGCTGCAGAAACGGAAGGAGCAGCAGGTTATTTAGGTCTCTAAGGATCCATTGCAACCATATATGAGTCCACTTAACTCGCACATTTAACCCTATTAGTGGCAGGCTCCTGGCTACAGCCAAGCTGAAATTTTGTCGTTTGCATTTAAGATCGCGTGAAGGGATTTGTGAGCAATTAAAACTTTTTATACGATGTGTAAAAAAAACTTCATGAGCTGATTTTCTGATATTCCCAAATGGTCCAAAACGCCTTTAATCACGTCTGTATAAAATATAAAACACCTGAAAAGTTCACTAACCTGTACTGCACTCTGCACTCCATTGTCTAATTCTCCTTCTTCCCACACGGTGGCGCCAGTAGTGCCGTTCGACACGTTATTCTCTGATGACGTCACCAAACTCTCGGGCGAGACTGGCTCGGCATCAGTGCCGTCCACCATGCAGACGACAGCAATGCTGACGTTGAACCGGGTGATGAGCATGATACCGGCGCCGAACCCGACCAGAAGCACCAGAGAAAAACGCACCGAGGGCAGCAGTGGGTCTGGGGGAAATGGACAATCACGCGCCTTAAAACAAAAGCATTGGCAAGTCCGTCCGAAAAAAATTGACGCCCGAAAAATATATTAGTATCAAAGTTTTGCCTGAAGTTAAATGATTAAAAGATAAGTTACAGCATATCAACCAGTATTAAATTGCATGTTGTTTAAAATACTATTTTACATTGAAATGATGTTAAATCACATAACGCAGTGCTATACATATAATATGTTAACTCACAATCTATTGCTCCTGCTTCTTCTGCTTTTTCTTGAGCAGCATTTGCCATTGTGCTGCTCGCTTATATTTTGGCTGCTCTGTAAATACGAAGAAGTTTGTGTCTTAATGCTGAAAATTGTGACACGCTCTGTAATGGTCAGATGCCACACATGCACTGCATATTTGAGACACCAACAGTTATGATCATAATAGGCTCAACATCTGAGGTATCGTTAGATTTTGTTTACTCGTGCAAGCCCTTTTTGCCGCTAAGTTCCCGACAGTCCGTCGACGTTGCACCGGTGTTAGGAATATGACACCGTTGGCGGATAACGTCACTGTCGTGCTTACATAATGGACTCCAATGGGGCACCCCGTCACCGCGTGCACCAAGTTGCAATTGTCGCTTTCTTTCTCACACAACAACCAGCAGCTACTTTTGCCCGGTCGGCTTCAACTGTTTTTTTTTTCTGTTGGGTTGAGTGTGGATCCGAATGCGCACACAGCCGCCATCCAAGGTCTCTTTGGATACATGTAAAAATTGCATTTCGCAAAAGTGCATAAATCCTGTTAAGTGATTCCTGTGATTGAATACAGCTATCATACAAAATATATTTTCTGGTTCTTATATTAAGTAAAATACGATACACTTATACATACTTGTGGTCGTGGCGAATACTAAATACGAAACTTCTCAACAGAAATATAACCAACTCACCGCTGAAAAGTCTGGTCTTGAAATAAAGATCCGACGCTGCTAACACCCAAAGAACCACTACCTCGACCCCATCCAGCCGCCTATTTGTTATATACCTGGTGTTTTTCTGACAACAACTTCAGCTAACTATTGACCGTCACACCCCCTCATAGGTGCTGTCAAGAATAATGCCCTGTTGACAAACCCCCTGGCCTCAGATACATGGAGCGATGAATTGAAACGTGATATTACGTTAAGCGACAATAAAAAGGTAATGGAGCGAGCGACCCGATGCTCTAAATCAGTGTCAGTAAAAGACGGCTCATTACTCGTAATTTGTCGCGGGTCGCTAAGTGCTACCGGTTTCATTGCGCCCTGTTGACAGGAGACTCATATAGGGTGTGTCGCTATTTGTTCAAGTCCTTTTGGGACCTTTTTGCGTTCTTTCATATCTCATATAAATCGGCATCTGGGCCATGCAGCGAGAATCTGCAAGCGGAGGCCGACCCGAAAGAATGATTTAAATAGATATAAAATCAAAAAAGCTTAAACCAGAAGTAAAAAAAGGTTGCGCTACTGACCGTTTTCTACGTTGTATAACAATTGCTTTGTCTTTGAGAGATTGCATGGAAACCATCTTAGATGGGTAGAGGAATTATGCTGTCCTCCATGCGACCCATGTTGGACTTGAAGTCTGACGTCGTTGTAATGAAACCACTCCTTTTTCTTCATATGCTGGTTTGATATATGCTATTATGAAACAGTCCTTAGCTGCTCTGAGATGAGTTCTTCACTCTCATGGACAGAAAGCGGTGCGGCTGATCGCCTTATTCTTCCTGCCGTAATGCGTTGGTTATGTGTAAGGAATTAGTTTTGATGTGCCAACGAAGCAGTAAATTTCTGGCGATTTAGCAATCTGTTTCACTCCTTAGAAGTCAAACGCTATAACCGTAATCACGCAACGTAATGTGTAACGTAAGCCACTCACGTGTACGTAAGGTATGCAGTGCACAGGGCTGGTAAAGTGTTGTGTCCTATTGACGTCGTCGGGGACACAGTACCAGTAAAAGTTCAAGTACCCGGGGTCAAAATTACCACATTTAGTAAACTTTTACAGTAATAAATAACTTTCAAATAAAGCAGAAACTAAACGCAAGTAAAAGATATCATTGAATCCACAACGTATATCCCCTTTAACAAGGACATAAAAAGCCCCTATACCTAATACATACCTACAACATGGTTATGAACAATTAGTAGCCACAACTCACTTCCGTTAACAGTAAAACTACCGTCGACAGTTGCTAACGAAAACTAGATCAAACTAGATGATCAAACACATACTAACAGACGCTTAGACACCGACCCCGCTGTCGGCTGTGCTATTTCAAGCGGGGTTGATTGACGACCAGTTGTAGCCAGCTATACGACTAGACAAACGACTAGATTCGGAACCGGGGTCGGACCGGTTGGACATGGTAAATTCATGCGGGGTCGATAGTTTCTAGCCGTCGTCGTTGTGAGCTACCGATACAATAGCGACACCTATTGCATCTGTTCGACGATCGTAGCGCCCCCTACCCTTTCCGGGTTCTTCGTCTGTTACGCTACCCGCTGACCGAGTGATGCCGTGACATTTATTAACAAACTGGAAATTTCGAAGCGCGAGTCTGATAAGCAATTTAGTACATATGACTGCTCGTAAAAAATAATATAGAAATGAAACCTAAGGAAACGCGCATCGTAGTTGCATGCAGCCTGCACATACATGAATCGTAAAAAGGTCGGGGTCATTTTTCGCTCTCATTTTTTGGTCGGGGACGCAATTTGCTTTTTTACCAGCCCTGGCAGTGCATTTCCTGGCGTAATTCTACAATCTATGTATATACATACATGTTCAAGTCCTTTTTATATATTTGCAATCACGACCGACCCGTGAACATTACTTAACCCGCGCATGACTGGGGTGGGGGGGGGGGGGGGCTCTACAGAGCCCCCTCCCGTTTTTCTGTAATATCTTCTAAACCACTAAACTTATCAACACGAAACTTGCAGTACCTTTAGCTGCATTAATGTGACACTTTGTGTCAAAATTACAATTTCGTAGCTACCATAGTTAGGCCTGAAATGACGTCAGAGTGACGTCATGTCGGCCGATTTTGATGCAAAACATTGAGCTACGGAAATCGCTCTCAGTTTTTAAGCTAGATCTAATTTCTTTGCAAGAGAGGACTAAGAATATACCGGGCTATCAATCTGCTATCTCGGATTTTGAAAATTTTGAAATGAAGTTTGAAAGTTATATATATCCAATTTCAAAACTCTATTTGTTATCTTTTTTGAAAAAGTTTTTGACTTTTCGAAAAAAGCGGAATAGATGTGATAGAACACATGCCCGTGATCTACCACAGGGAAGATATTAGACTAAAAGGAAATATCGTCCCTGTGCAAAATTGATAATGTTTCCAAAATGGGGGAACAAAACTATTTTTTTGTAACTAAAGAGCAAAATGACCAGATATCTTTTACAAAGGCTTCAGTATTATCGATGTTTACATATCATTTGACGTTTTGCTGTTTATATGAAAGTTTTCATATCCTCGGATATCGGGGTCTGTCACACACCTCTTTGAGGTTACTGCTGCTCCTGAAGCTGCTCCTCCAGCTGCTCCAGCTCCTTCTGCAGCTCCTCCGCCAGCTGCTGGCGTCTCCTGCTGCACTCCTCCATCAGTCGATCCACCTCCAGCTCCGACTGGACGCTCGGAAATTTCCTCTTCAGCTCTTGTGACTCTCTCTGATGTTTCTGCTCTAGCTCTTGCCACTTCTTCTGCAGTGTCTGCTGGAGATTTTCCCACTCCTGCTGGTGGAAGGGATCAAGACTTTTCCAATCTTTTTGGTGCTTCTTTTTCTGCCTTCGAAGCGTGGATGGTGCTAACTCATCGACCTGCAAGTGCATGCATCTGATAGCCTCCCTGTGCTGCTCATGAAGCTCAATGCGCTCCTCATAGTGACGTTCGTCCAGTTTCTGCCACTCCTTACCGTTTTCCCGCTCCAGATCCAGACGCTCCTCTTCATGCTTTTTGTCCATCCTCACTCATTCTTTGTGACCTGTGTGCTCCAGCTCCTGCCATAGCTGCTGATGTTGTAGTTCCAGCTCCTGCCACCGCTGCTGATGTTGCTGTTCAATCAGCTGCCACCTCTGCCGGTCTGGGCAAGGAAGACCCTCTGATGTCTGCTCCTCCTCATCGCAGTGCTGCTCCTCGTCTTCGGCCTCTCCGTCGCGGTCACCCTGAAGCGAGTCTAGAACACAGCAGGTCAGACAGAAGTTACCGGACGTAGGGTGGACGGTCGGCAGTCGACCAAGTCCAAGAGAAGCTTAGATCACAATTCACGCTGCACCATTGAAAGATATTTAGACATGGCACGTGATTTTCATCAATGCTTTCAACATCAAATTTCATCAAGTTTCAACATCAAATTACCTTTTACAAAGTACTTATTAAAACTTATTGTACTTATTGAAATGTACTTATTATGTACTTATTATGTACACTACTTATGTACTTATTAATGTACTTATGTACTTATGTACTTATAAAACAGTTTCTATGCATCAACGATTCGTTACCCGCGCCCCTTTGGGCTATTGGCTGACCCTGCCACCCGCTGGGGGGCGTTACGGCCCCCGTAACTCAATAGCTCGGACGGTTACCGGCTGACTTTCAAACTTCAAACGGCGTTCGATAGACCAACCGTAGAACTTCCATTTGACTAAATTGTATAAATCTAGTTGCAACCGATGAGGTCAAAGGTTAGCTAAAGGTCACATTTTTTACCATTTACAGGCTTTCTAAGAAATGATTTCAACATCGAGTAAAGGGCATGTCATCGAAAATCATCGATTGAACAATGAACATTGCTTGTCTACTACTTTTTTGCGAAATGAGGTCACTGATGCAAGGTCAACAGTTTAAAATTATCAACAGTTTCGGCCTGCTCACTACTCGGGCTCTGCTCGCCGGCTTACAGGTCCGATCAGGCTCATTGTTGGTTAACACACTCGTTGATATATGCCTAAGATACTCTGAGGGTATCAAACTTGTACTTCGAATTTGTCAGGTCAAAGCTAGGTCATCCTAGGTCTTGGAAACTTAATGTCGTGCATCGGTCAAGTAACACATGTTTTATGATCTATTTCAGCCAGTTATTTCGAAAGTAGTGTCATTTGTGTCATTTGAGGTCATTTTCATCTGAATATAGCTGAGGTCAGATCACTTTCAGGTCACAAAAGGTCAAATCACGAAGTTGAACTCTTTCAACAAAAAGGTGTCTTTCAGATGCAGTTTGAGCTCAGGAACACGATGGTGCTTATCAGACCGTTAAATTCAGCTGATAGCGCAGATTAGTGGTTGGCGCGATCGCCTCGTAAGATGGAAGCCGCGGGTTCGCGGCCGCTCACATCCGTTTACTTTTGCCTGTGTTCCTAAGTACCATTCAGCCAGCTAGCTACTCGGTTGCTATTTAGCGAAACACCGCCGCGGCGCCGGCCGATGTATTACCTTGTGAGTCGGTCTCGTCCTCGTCCAGGCAGTACCGCTGCAGTTGCCACCGGTCCGGCCACCGGCTGACGGCAGCGTCATAAGCCGTGCGCAGCCGGTTACCGGACAGGAGCTGCTGCAGCCGGCGGCGCCAGAGGCCGGCCGTGGCGACCACCGTCGGACCGGTCTTCTTTCGTAGATCGACACGGAGCTTGTCCTGCAGGTTACGGCTGAGTTGGTGGTTCAGCTTATTGCGGCACTGCTGATAGGTGAGCAGTGGTCCAAAGTTCTCCGCCCAGTTCATTTTCGTCTTCAGGTCCTCCTTTCTCCACTCGCCCATCTTCCGCGGCACGTCCTCACTGAATGCCCGCAGCAGCAGCTCGGGCCGCAGCAGCAGCTCGGCCCGGCCTCGCGGCGTGTCCAGCTCGGCGGTCAGGCCGGCCGGCCGCTCCGCCGGCGGCCGCCGCAGCTGCCGACCCCACCAGGCGGCCACCGCGGTCGGGTCATCCAGCAGGCGCTCCAGGTCAGACTTGGTGAGGAGCCGGGTGAGCGGCGTCACGTCGACCGTGACGGTGTTACCGACCGGTGACGTCATCGGCGCGCCGCCCACCAGGTCCGCCGGGTCGACCACACTCCACGCCATGAGCAGGCAACACTGCTGGTGGTGCGTTCCCGATGTCATGTAGTGGTACCACTGGAGCAGGTGGGGGGCCGCGTGGGCCAGGCGGGGGATGGCGTGACTCCACCAGCTCTCCCAGCAGGGAGCCGTGGGGCGGCGCCTGATATCTTCCAACACAGCCTGCCGGAGCAGCGTCCGTCCCAGACGGAACCGCAGCTCGCGCTCTGAGAGCAGCTCCGCCCCGCCTTCCAGCAGGATGTCCAGGCGCCACCGCTTCTCACAGCAGGCCATCAGAAGGGGTGTCAGGTGGTTCCTCATCTGTCGGAGGGAGCTGATGATGGCCTGCCGTTGGTCCGCGGTCAGCTCCGCCGCCACGTTGATAGCTGGATAGAAAAAGCAGGGCAGCCACCCTTCGGCGATGCTCTGCTCCAGCCAGTTCAGGAGCCGGTGGACGCCGTCCGTGACGCCCGTCCACGATCCACCGGGCGTCTCCTGGGCCAGCCAGAGCATCGCTGTCTTGACAAAGTACGATTTCAAGTCGTCCGTGGCTACCCCGCTCTCCTTTAGCATGTTTTTCATGTCCTTTACGCTAATTATCGCAGCCCGCTGCCTGGGCGAGAGCTGCCAGACGGCTAGTAGCTCCGCCCGCGACAGCGAGATGCGGTATTCAACTAATTCTGTCTCGCTGCCCCCCCGGCCGGTGGGCACGAGGTGCACCCCGAACCGGGGGATCTCGTCCCGCGCCGCCGCCGACGGAAAGTTGGTCTTCCGTGAGGCGGCGTCGGGCCAGTTTGGCTCGGGCCACCACCCGCGCACAAACAGGCAGAAGACTATATCAAACCCACCGTGTTTATCACATGGCCTCTTGACGTTGACTGCCGGGCCGGTGGGTTTGATCTTACCAGAGTACTCGGCCCGGCAGTAGTATTCCACGAGCCGACGGACGGAGTCGGCTGGCAGAGCCTCCAGCGGCTCCTCGTGGCCGCACCGGTCCGTCCGCACCCAGTGCAGCGTTGCCGGTCGGCCGGGCCCACAGCTGCGGCTCAGACCGCGGCTCGATGTCGGCAGGCTCCGCGCCCGGCGTCGTCCAGCGGAAGGGGCCGTCGAACTCCAACATTATGTCGACGTCCGACGTGCCCTCCTCACCGATGATACCGTCATCTAGCCCCTCAGCCGTGCTCCCCGACCTGTTCCAGGAAACCAGCCGGAGCGGCCGACGGGGCTGGCAGTGACGACACCGGGCGGCGTCGGCGGCGGCCCTGTCCTCCACCAGCGCCGACAGCAGCGGGCTGACCAGAAGGCTTTTGACGGCGTCATCGACCTCCTGGGAGGATATTTGGCCCTGTCGTCCGGGGCTGTGGTTCCTCACCAGGTCTGCGGTCTCCAGCAGTGTGTCGGCGACAAGGTGGGTCGCCGCCCTGCACTTCTCCGCCAGGAGCCTTATCCGCGGAGCCATACCTCTTAGCACCTTCATCATGCTCTTCATCTGGTCTTTGGTAAGTACGTCAGAACAAGACATTGTTCCTATCGCGGTATCACTGTTCACAGACTTAACACTATCACAAACGGACTACTGGCCGGGGCCGGCCGGCGCCTCTCCTGATATACCGACCGGCGCCGGCGGCGGCCCCGATAAATAAATAAGAGCCGCCGGCCGCCGGCAGAGATAGACCCAGGGCACCGGCGGCCACCTCCGGCTGCCGGTGCACACAGCCGCTATCGGGGTTGAGAAGTTGCCAATATACTGTTTTCCGACATTTTTAAAACGTGTTTTTCTTTCTTTTGCGTGTCACCAATTGCTCAGAACACACTCAACGTCATTTAAAATATGATTTTATTGCATGGCTTGTATGTTATCTGGGTGCGCAATATTGTTGACTGTTGACCGCAATTTTCAGATTAGATTTCCTTCTGAAGGAATACATACTTTTGTTAGTGACACCATGGCAACAGGCAATTGTAAATCGCGCGTGTTTGAATCATTTTTCAATTTTCTTCTGAACGGCGACATATTTAACCCTCGCTCTGGCAGGGCATTTTTCATGACGCGGCCCGGCAGCGGGAGGGGGGGGGGTCGATGCGACCCCCCTGGCGTTTCGAAACTAAGCGTTGTAGCGCTTCGCAACAAAGACCAGTCGATTGCTCTCAACGAGTACTCGCGATTGGTGGTATATTGTTTTACCCTAGCTCAATATTTGACCCAGTTATCCCTCGCCGGACCTATTGGTTTTCTACATACGCGCCGGCCGAGGGGGGGGGGCGGTTACGACCCCCCCCCCCCCTCGCCGTTTCGCCCCTGGTGGAGCTAGCGCGTCGCGGAAAAAACGAGCGGGTGCGCCGTTACGAGACGCAGAGATTGGTACCCGATTTTAAGGTCCTAGGTCAACCGGTAACCTCTGAGGTCAGGTCAAGTGACCCAGGGTACGGTTCAGTTTTTGGTGAATAACTTCGCAAAAAACGGCCGCAGAGCCGCGATTTTGGCAGCATCGTGTTCGCCTCGCTCAGGCGCGTCGAATGATATACTTTTTGTTCGGGTCAGGTCAACTTGGGGTGTTGACCTAAGGTCAAGGTCAGGTCAGCACCCCCGGGTCACGAAGTTGGTCGAAAAAGGTCATGTCGCATATCATTCGATTTAGCAGGTCTTCCTAAGTCCATTGGTGGCTTTCCCGACTCGCTAGCTCAATTTGATCAATAGTTATTGACGAAAAACTAATATGACCTTGATGACGTCATAAATGACGTCACGCAAGGTCAACATTCCAAAAGTGACGTATCTAACCTTGCAAGGAGTGCATCAAATCATGATTCTGTGTGCTTGAGATAGTTGGAGATCGTTCCCGGCGCCAGAATAGCAGTTTTCATTTTTCCCCATTGACTTATAATGGTGAGGTCACGAAAATGACCTGACCTCATATGACCTTTAGGAAAAATCCGAGATATACAAGTTGTGAGACCCATAATGGATACTAGATCCTGCAAGTTTCATTTCCCTGTGACATCTCCTCTGGCAGTGAGGGCGTTGCGAAGTTGCGACATCTGAAGACCGTGCAGAGGTTCACTTATGACGTCATAGGTCAGTGACCTGACCTGACCCGAAAATGCGGTTGGTGTCAAAAGATCCGGCTTGAATCAAAGGTCAAGTATGCCAAGTTTCAGCTCTCTATCGCCAGTGTGTTCGGAGCTATCGCGAAAAAACCCTATGAGGGGGGGGGCGGCACCCGCCCCCCCCCCCCCTCGGCCGGCGAGGGTTATGGCAGGTCAAAGGTCAAATTTCGGGAAAAGCTATAATTTTCCAAGTTATTTAGCCAATATTGGCGAATTTATTAAAGACAGCGACATGGAACATTCAAGACCGTGTTTCTCAACGAATTAGCAACACAATGATGTATAGTTGACTGCATTTTAGACTTCAGTCATTACTGGCGTGACGTAGGGGAGACCCGGGAGGTATGGGCCCCCTGGAGGTATGGGCCATCGCAGTTTTGAAGAAGTGTTGCGTATTTTTACACATTTGACGGCGTTAACTGGTAGTAGCCATTCCGTTATACATCCCACGTGATTTTCAAAATCTTCCTCAGTCTTCTTTGGCAATGAGCGGTGATAAAGCGTTTTTGCCCTCTTCGAGTAAAATACGGTACATACAGAAAATTCGTGACAAATTTGAACCAGGCTCGTTTTATGATGTCAGTCCATCGCTAACATTAAGTTTAAAGCATGCAAATTTAGACTGGATACACAATTTGAAGCTTTCTTGTAAGATTATGAGCTGAGATGCTACGCACATTCTGACGTCCTAACCGGGAGGTTCGGGCCACCCACCCCGTTGATCCTAAATAAATAAAAAAGATGCTTTCATTGAATGTCCCCGTCAATAAGTTTTTTTTTTTTGTCGCGCAAGGTCGAAAATTTAACTTCAAATTTCATTCGAACAGAAAAATATTATTGATCTTATTTCATGGTGCATGATTGAGTTTTCCAAAATACATATGGGCCAAAGTGACCTCCATGAAGCAAGCTGTTGGCCGCTTATGCGATTCCTGGGCTCCAAGAGAGATCAAGGTAGATACCAGCTACGAGTATTATTCTCATTGTCGAGAAAAGAATATGAAACATGGCACCGGCCCATACCTCCCTGGCCATGGCCCATACCTCCCGGTGTATTTTGATGGATCGAAAAAGCACATGATTTATGGAAAGTTATCTGGAGACAAAATAGTTGATCCCAGATGCCTAATATCAGGTACGCGTTGCAGGCGAAAGGCAATTTCACGTACACAGAGTGAAAAACCGGGTCTAGCCACTGCCCACTGGAAGAAAATTGCCTTTTCACAAAACCGGCCCATACCTCCCGGGTCTCCCCTAGTCCCGGGAACACGGGAAGTCACACCCGCCGCCGGCACGGGAAGTCACACGGAATAGTTTCCTTCTTGTCGATGAGATCACGTCCAGTTACGCGGAATGTATGATTTTGCCAAAAACGGTCGAAGGTTGTACCTATTCTGACGTCATAGCTCGGTGACCTGACGTGACCCGAAAATATTTTTTTACCAAAAGTTGCGCAAGGGATGCCCCAGAGGCTATGGAAATTTTCAGCACGATCCGACTAGGTAATGGTTCGGCGCCCATCGCAAAAAACCTCAGGGTCGCATCGACCCCCCCCCCCTGCCAGGGCGGGGGTTAACGACATTTATTAGCGAGTTGGGATGGGCCATGTAATAAAATAAATACTGTATGGGGTATAGGGACAATAAAGATAATTGCCCTCTGTGACATACCTATATATGACATATATGACATATATGACATATGTAGCCATAGGGCGAAGCCCTCAACAAGCATCATTGCCCGAGGCGTAGCCGAGGGCAATAAAGCATGTTTTGGTCTTCACCCTCGGGCCACAGTGACGTCATATCGGACAATAATTTTTACTATTGCCCGCTATCCCATACAGTGTTCACTGTTCATATACTGACATTGACATAAAAACATTCTGATAGGTATAGCTGGGAAGGCTTTCAAAGTTAGTCGTGTTTTCATGTTCTGCGAGACCAAAACTGTGTTGGTATTTCTGGATAAATTTGAGTGGATTTTCTGCCAGATTCTTCAAGAGAAAGATACTGTAAAATGGTATTGTCTGAACCGCCAGAATGTGTGCTATTAACCCGCGCATGACTAGGGTATTTTCCATAACGCGGCTGACTGAGAGGGGGGGGGGGGGATCTACAGAGCCCCGTCCTATCTCCGAAACAACCGAGCCGGTTGTCAAAGTTCAAACGACGTCTGATAGCATTGGAAAAACTGTCGAACGAAACCTAAATTAATTAGCCTCGAGGTCACTGATGACGTCACATGTCAGGTCAAAGTAAAAATTATCAACGTTTTGGCTTGTTCACAATCTAGGCTCTGGCCGCCGGCTAACACGGCGGATCATTTTTGGTTTGCGCACTCGTTGATAAAGGTATGTCGCAGATACCCTGAGGGTAACAAACTTGTACTTCGAATTTTTCAGGTCAAGGCCAGGTCATCCTAGGTCACATAAATTGTATATCATGTATCATGTATCAGTCACGTGGCACATGTTTTATGGTCCATTTCACTCATAGACTTCAAAACCGTATGTTCTGTGCCATTTGAGGCCATTTTCAGCTGAATTTAGCTGAGGTCAGGTCACTTTCAGGTCCAAAAAGTTCAAATTTTACATACGATTTTTTTCAGCAACAAAATTGTCTATCAGATGCAGTTTGAGCTCATGTACACGATAGTGCTATTTAATGGCTGTACGATGTCAAAAACGTACTGAGAAATGGATTGGAAAAATCTATTATTGTGAAATTTTGACTATAATGCGTATGACTTAGCCATTTTTGAAGAAATTGGGCTAAAGCTTCCTAGAATAGGTAATCGGTAGGCGTTCTATCAGACGTATTCCGTTTTTTTTTTTTTTGAAAACTCAAAAACTTTAGAAAAATATATAAAAAAGTTTTTTTGTAATTGTAAATGTATATTTTTCAAATTTTTCAAAATTTTCAAATCCGAGATGGCATTTTGCTAGCCACTTGTAGTTGCAGTCCACTCATGCAAAGAAATTGGATCTAGCTTAAAAACTGAGCTCTTGAGAGCAATTGCCGTAGTTCAATGTTTTGCATGAAAATCGGCCGACATGACGTCACTCTGACGTCATTTCCGGTCGACCTATGGTAGCTAGAAAGTTGTAATTTGGACACAAGGTGTCAAATGAATGCCTCTAAAGGTACGAAAAGTGTCGTGCTGATACGTCAAACGGTTTAGAAGGTACTGCCGAAAAACGGGGTGGGGCTCTGTAGAGCCTCCCTCGCCGTGCACAGGTTAAATAAGGTGTTATCATTTTTGCCATTACCTGTTCACAAAAATTACACTAGGCTGTTTTTGAATATTCACACAAAACGAAACAAGTTTGTGAATCAAAATGTTTGAAAACATCTACGAAAAATGCACTGCATGTCCCTTATTGAGGAAGCATGCTGTATATGCATCAACAATTAAAGTTCACGATACAATATCCACCACATGTTCAACTTCTATTCGTGTCCGTTTTTTTTTTTTTCAATGACGACAGTGGCACGAATGGCACATTCAAGCATATATTCCGAGTTGTCTTATTAAATAACATGTCGCATTGCAGTTTCAACACTCAATGACTTAGTGATGCTTTCTAAATGTCTTTAACCCAATCAAAACAAGCGGCTCAGCATTTCAAAGGATAAGGGTACCGTTACTGGCGATCATTGATGCAGCAAGCGCAGTCGACACGTTCAAAACCCTTGGAGCCGGCGCGTCGCCTCCCCCCAACCCATTTAGGGGCACATGTGAAACGGGGCGCGTTGCATCGGTCGACAGACGACAAAATACGAGTCGGTCGACATCGACTCGTATTTTGAATACAGCAATCTTTTGGCACAATATTTTGCTACGGTAGTCTGTGGTCTTTAAACGGACCATTTCTACACTTCGCACGTGTTTTTGTTCTGTGCTTCTGTCTCGTTTTCCTCGGTCTTGGCGAATGTCTGCACCTCTGATTTCCAGAACAGAATGACGGCGAGATCCATCACGACGTTCATGACCAGAGCGATCAGGAAGAAGTACCGCCACTCCAGTAGACTTTTCTGCAGAAATGGAAAGACATGGTCACTGTGAGGTCTTGTTAACAAATCACAATTTGAGAAGCACAATACCTGGTGACGATGCAGTTCTTGAGCGGGTACTGATTGGCTACAGACTTCATGGGTCTTGCTGCTACATATCACTATCAATGATTTCTGTTCCTTGATTTAACTATTCGAGTTTAACTAATCTGATAATAATTAAGTTTGTTTTTTATTCTTGTGCAAAGGACTATTTTGCTATCTTTTAACAGCTCTCATGTCCACATTCATGCACATAATTATTTGCAATTTGCGTATTTTAAACAACATGAATGGAATAATAACGACCTATACATTAAAACAGATTAAAAGAAGTCATGTAAGTCGTTACTCACGTTTGGTGTCATTGCAGCGGCTATTGTGGGCGCCAGGACCCCTGTGAGATTTCCGATGGACCCGGAGAGGCCCCAGATCACTCCAGCGAACTGAGGGGCGATGTCCGGGCCCGCAGACAAAGGGCCTGAAACGGGTGTCGAGGTCACAGCGGTGTGCTGATGTTTGTTACATTAGAACGATGATGACAATGGAGGCTGTGATGATAACGGAGGCTGTGTGGAGAATCAATGAAGTGGAATGCTCTTGTGCTGTAGATGTCAATTGATTTTCAGAGGGAACTACTACGGACGCCAGAGCGAATTTCAATGACGCTTTAAAGTTTTTGAAGTCTGTTGTTGGCAATCCCCGACTGCTGTTCATTTGTATGAAATAACTTATTGACTTTATTCTGTAAGACAGCAAGCAATACCTTCGTGAAAATCAGCATTCTCCTAAGTACTGAGTTAATGCAAAGAGATGCCACTTACCTCCGGCAACTCCCAGCACGGAGGTGACGTTGCATAAGACGAGAAGGCTCATCGTGAGATACGTCATTCCCGGAGGAAGCAGCAAGATGACTCCCAGCAGAGCGGCCGGGATCAGGAACGCTGAAAAACATGATTTTTTTATTATCACACATGATTGTTATAAATTAACGACACTTACGGCATTATCATTAGTACAAAAAAAGGTACATACGCTACAAAACTTAGACGCATAAATTTAAGAAATGATAAATACTTTTTTTCAAACTCACCGACAGTCGCAATAATTTTACGAGCATTGGTTCGACTGCACTGCCACCTGGTGAGCAGGTATTGAAACACCTTTCCCCCTGCAACGCAGCCGACGGTCATCGACATGGTCGGAAGACCGGAGAGAAATCCGTTCTGCGAAAAAAAAAAATGGGCGGTGATGTTAAAGACATGCGTTATTCAGAAATGACTTACCTAGAATGGTATAGGGCATAAGCTGTTAGCATATTTCATTTCACATTTGATTTTTGTCGGCAAATATGTCGGTAAAGATTATAACAACCAGCCAGCATAATTATCCAGAATAGAATCATCTTCGTTTAATTTATAAAATTTTAAGGCATACAGGCACGGCATCTCTTACGACCCACCTCAGTGAGGTTGACGCCCATGGTCTCCTTCAGGAAGGTGGGCAGAGTGATGTTGAGGGCGTAGTAGAACCAGCTGTTGGTGAAGAAGGTGCCGATCACTATCAGCACCTGACGGTTGGTGATGATGGCCAGGATTGGTGTTGACTCCTGGGTCACCTGAGGAAGAGATAGTTATCAGAGGTCAGGGGTTCGAATCCAGGAGATGTCGAATTATCGTCACCATTATTCGAGTTTGGATGTATGCTGCTGCTAACAGTTATTTTAGACAAATATAAAAATTTGATAGATGTTTCCTGGCTCATGATCAATTTTTTAGGTCTCTGTAAGGCATCTAAGCAGTCCCCTTTGTTAAAAGTTTGATGTTATTTAAAAAAAAAAATCCTCTCACCACATTTTCTATGAAGTTTTTGTCCCGTTTAGTTACTGAATTACCGAACGAATTTACCTGCTTTGTGGAAATTACAATTTTCTACTGCAGCTTCATGTACCATGAACTGCAAAAGTATCTTTCTTCATCTCACTTACATTTTTGTCAGAGAGTGATTTGGTCGTGGCCACTCTGAAGAGCCTCTTGGAGGCCAGGTATCGTTTCTCGTCCTCCGGGCAGATGGAGCTCTCGTCAGGGGAGCTGGTCAGAAGGAACCAGCCTACGACCATCCACAGAAGTGGAAACGCCCCTGCAAAAAGGGAACACCCGGAAACGGTCAAATAATAACAGAATTATCTTCATCAATGAAACAAGTGACAATTCATACGGCAATGCATTCAACACTGGGTTCCATAAAATACGAACAGGACAATCTTTATGCTCAAGCTTTTTAATGGTTTTAAGAATTTTAACGAGAAATTAACACAATTTTACACTGGAGCGCCATTCAGTGCCCACACACCATCGATGTGAGGGGCGCGGCCTCACCTGTAATATAGAACACCGCCGGCCAGCCCCAAGCCTGGCAGATGGAGCTGGAGATGGGGTAGGCCGATCCTCCGAGCAGGTACTGAAAGGCCCAGCACAGCGAGAACACGGTGGTGTACTCGACAGGCACGCTCCAGTTTCGGGCGAACACCTGCGCGGCGGGGAGCGCCGCCGACTGAGAGGAGAGAGGAAAGGTAACCGGTCAGCGAGGGCAAAGTCAGAAGTTAGAGAGGGTAGAGGTCGCGCGCTGGCGAGGGTTGGGATCATAGTCCACTGCGCAGTAGCGAGGGCATGGTTTGTGAGCATACTGAGAGGTCACTTGGTCCTTAGAGCATATGTAGGTTAACGTTAGCGAGGGAAGAGATAACGCAATAGCTCGACCGGCCCTCTTCAGCTAGCGTTGACACAAATAGTTTCTAGACTACACGTGGCAAAATATTTTCAGTAAGGCATCTTTTATGGAACTTCTCGCTTTCATCATATTCTACCTCAACTACTTTTTCTAACTCATGTGTCGTTAAGCCCAAATGATCAAAAGTACACCATTTATATGCTCACCGAGCAGAGCCCATGCAGTGCGCGCAGCGCCAGCAGAAGGTACGGGTCTGTTCGTGCTACCACCGGTAGCACCAGCGTCCACAGACCCTGCAGACCGATACTGACCAGCAGGACCAGTACCACCGGCAGCCTGGGAGCGCAGATTGCACCAACGTCAGCCGAAAATTGAATACGTTCAATCCTGATATATGATGCCTTAAAGTGATATGTTTTCCGCCCCAAAACGTAAAAATAGGGACAGCTCAAATTAGGGACACACATTGCAGTGCCCACTGCAATGTCTTTAGTTCAACCGAAAGAGTTCATTCCGGGTAATGACTGAAAAATAATGGATCAACTCTGGTTGCCGATCGAGTGACATCCGTGTATAAACAGCGGTTATCAAACTAACTGAAGTCTCTGTGCGTCACAATCTCTTAGAACTCACTTGTCGGCGATCCAGCCGCCCGGTACCAGACCCGCGGTGTAGCCGTAGAAATAGCTGGACAGCAGCAGCCCCTGGAACGTCTTGTCCCACTGGAACTCACCCTGGAAAGCAGATGGGCATTTCTGATGGCCGATATGTTTAATGAAGCCGGTATGCCGTTAGTGAGGCAAATGAACGCTAAAGACATGGTGTTTGTCTCGGGGTTTGTCCAGTGGACAGTCTGGTATCAACATACATATTGCATTCGTCGGTCGTCCTTCATATTCATTTTTGTGATGAGCATGAATCTATAAAACTTAGGTATAGCTTTAAACGCTGATAAATTTAGAATAAACCGATTTGAAATTAAAAGGTAAATAATACTTACCCGTCCTTTTCCCGCTGTAGAAACCTCTAATTCACCACCATTCGTTATGGCGATGTCTCGGGTTCCATTTCCCATGCCGTCCCCGGCTGACGTCATGACACCCTCTGTGACGTCATCGTCGACCATACAGACGACGGCAATGCTGACGTTGAACCGAGTGATCATCATGGTCCCCACGCCGATACCGACGAGCATGACGAACAACATCCGAACGGACGGGAAGAGGCGGTCTGAGGAAAAGCCATGCTATTCTGTTTGTTTGGGTTTCACGTTTCACGCAAGTTATCAATGATCATGATCTGATGTTTTAAATGTTTATCTACATGTCGAATACATATCTACATATCTACATTTACATGTCTACATATTTACAGGTGTACACATTTACAGGTGTACATGTCTACATGTCGAAGAACATTATAAAACATATATATTTGGATGAATTTTTAACGACTTACATTTGAGTTCCCCTGCCTCCTGGGCCTTAGTCTCTGCTTCTGTGTTCATGGCTGCTGTTTGAAAGTCTTCAGTTGGAAGCTGTTACTCTCCTGACCAGCAGGAAGTAATGACGTTCCGTTTTTTTTAACTTGAAAAGAAGACGAACCGTCAAGTCATTGTGGAATGTGACAAACAAAGCTATTCATATGATGTTAACGTCTTGTTTGCTATGATGAATGAGTTGATTTCAAAATATGTGCTTTGAAAAGACTGCAGTTAAATCGAGACGCAGTCAAATGGCATGTGTTTGACAGCGGAGGAAACATTAACCAGATGTTGGTGAATGCCAGTTAGGTAAGTACTTCTGAAATTATTTAGCCCGAGCCCACTCGCAACAAACCTGTTCACAATCTACGTCCCATTGTGCGTGTAACATGTACAGGGATCTACTAGAGGTGGCATGATAGCTGCCCTGTCATCGCAGATAATTTTGATAGATAAGTCAATATCAGAAGCGCATAATTTACTTAGCGTGCTTTAGCTCCTAAAGTTGCCGCTATAATCGTAACAAAATGCAGTACTGCGAATGAATTAGGCTGCGTCCACCAGAGTTGGCCTACGTTACGTTATTTTGAAGTTTTCGGTAACCCGTAGCTGTCAGTACCGTTTCGTAGCGTAATTTGGATGTTTCGGTAGCGTAGTACGGAAAATAATAGAATAACGTAGGAACTACGAAATGGATTCCGTAGCAATTACAGGTCAGCAGTATTTGTATAAGGTACATAATTTTTTCAGTTTACTGATATCGTCACCAGACCTCCGGCCGTTTACACGGATGTGAGACGCCTGCTATATGAATACCACTGAGTCTTTCTTCCGGCCGGACCGACACCGGGGATTTCCCACTGGGGAGTCCCAGGGAATTCCCTGTCGGAAGTCCAGCGCATCTAGCGAGTGGCGCGTAGGCACCGCCGCACCGACGATGCTGCAAAGCCGGCGATCATTGTGCGCAGTAATTGGCTTACTGGAGACTAACCGTTTCCACTGGGTAGTGGATGATGACATATTGCATAACGTAGTACGATAAAATAATTTGCTGCGTTAATTAACAAATACCGTAATTCAGTAACGTAGCAATATATAACGTATCGTAATTCGGTATCGTAGTTTTGGCCAAAAAAGCAAACGTAGCGTAACGTAGTGCGTAACGTAGTGTAGCGCAGGCCAACTCTGGCGTCCACACATGGGCAGACTTCTGTAAGCTTTCCGTCACTCTAAGTTGCGTTGTGATGATGATTTGGTGTTTTAGGGCGCACCAACAACGAGGCTATATGGCGCCCATACAAAGCGTAAATATGAAAACTGACTTCAGAGCTCTTGACGACGCGAAATCTCTTTCAGCATCGTTGAGTTGAAAGCACTCAATCAAAACGATAGAAAAAAAAGCATATAGAGACAAGTGTTGACATTCACACCCAAACAAAACCAGTCCCTACTCCCACCCTTTCCCTCTACACAAAACAAAACTCACCTGTGTTTTGAAGGGCGTGCCGTCACCTATACGGAAACGCCTTGGCGCTGTGCCTCTGGCCCTGTTCCCGGTTCCCCCGTGTGACAGCCATTCCAGCCGCACCCGCCGCTCTCCAACCCGACTATATACTGTCCCGGGATGTGACGATACATTTCTAGTCACGGCCCGCGCCTGTGTTGGATGCTCTGTGGAATAAACAGACGACACCGGGGTGGTATGCGGTGTCACCGGTCTGACACCGTTACTAGGCCAGTTTACAGCACTCAGCGCGAGTGAGGTTGTTTGTGGCCGGTGTCAGTATGCGGATACGGCTGGTGTTTACTGGTTAGGGTTGTACCGAGAGGCGACTGTTGTTTACGTACTGGAAATTTGATATTCGTGCCAGGAAGCGGTAGATAGAACGGGGCCTTCGCTTATGTAACTCCCTCGTAAAGCTGTGATGTTTCATGTGGATGTCAGCAGTTTATTCGGCTAGTTGCATACTTTGGACGATTCCTTGCTTCTTTGTACATGGATTGTCTGCCGGCTTATCACTACCTCAAAACTACATAGAAAGAACCGTGGCTGCTAAACTAAACCGTCTTTGACCAATATGAGGTCATTTAAACTATATAAGGGGGTATTTCTAGAGAAACTGAAGCATTATTAGATCAAGTTGAGCCACTTATGCATTGGCTTGTGCCGATAATTCTCCCAACGTGGCCTTCTCATCCCGGACACTAACATATCAGAGTGCGCTAAAAACGATGTGCTTACTGCTTATATAACGAGTACCAGAAACAACCTGTCACGACCTTTCAGTGGTTGAAAGAAATACGTGAAAACAAGAAACCCCCCTTTTCTTTAGTACTAGAAATGTCACATAAAATGTCACATTTTACGTAACGCCACATCGAAGCTGACGGCAGCTGCCGTCATACAGCAGCTACCGGAGTGACAGTTATGTCGCAAACTGGGACATTTTAGTGACGGGACGTAGACGTGTAAAGCAGGCGTTTAGCTGTGAACGGTTGGAGCTGACTCCAGATTTCAGTCCGTAGGCGTTTTCGATCGGAGATTAGGTGTCCAAAAAACACCAGAAGGTGTTTTGAGGTGCACGTGTTTAGCGTTCAAGATGAGTCGTTTTGCATTGATGGTAAGTTTTAGCGCTTTTTCATATGCGCCTTTGTAGATGCATAACGTCTGCCTATTGATCAATCGTTCTCCTTTCATTCATAAACGTCATATTTTTGTTTTTCATTTGTAAGTAAATGTTCCCAATCGCTTTCATTTTCATCAGTTTGGCAATTTTGTTGCAACCACTGACCGACCCGTGTTTCTATCCACAGCTACTGCTGATCGGCCTCGTGCTCTTGACGGTGGCAGTTCCTCTGGTTGCCAGCCATCCACAACCAGGTCCTGGCTGGCCACCAGTGCTGCGGTGCGAGTGTCACCGATGCTGCTCGGGCTGTGCTTTCCGGTGTCTTCGCTGCTGTGTAAAGGAGTGAAAGAGTGGGGCTGTGCAACACTTCAGCTGAAGCTATCGCAGCGAGAACAAGGTTTAAGGCTGGAACACGGCTTCCACGCATGCAAATCGGCTCACACCCCTCCCAAATGGAATGAAAGATATGTGATCCGGCTTCTCGTTACCTTTTGACTGGATAGTCCGTCGAAATTCGACCTTTTTTATTTAGCTGTGCTTGAATAAAGGAATTGCTATTGTTTTTGTTCTTGTCATAAGTGCCGGCATGCTTAATTAGGCCTTTCTAGTTCATTTAGCCAATCATTGATGGCATTGAGATGAGATGACCAGCCCAGAGGTGAGAAGAAATGGGTTGAGTGGAGTGTGGACCAGGGGTGGACAAATGTGCCGAGTTGGGGTTGCACGGGCGCAGCAAATCCGCCGCCGCCCTAGCGGTGACCTTGACCTCCGCCGTCTGTTGCGGCTCCAGAGCCAAGCCGGCGTGGAATTGGGAAAGCTCGTGCTACCCCAACTCGGCACAATTATCCACCCCTGGTGTGGACCACCGATCGGTGGGATGCAGCTTAACTCAGCGTGTTAACTCGGGATTAACATGACACGATGGGATAAGCAACCCAGCTGCTAAAACTGTCACTCCATGGGAAAGCGTGGTCCTACTGGAACGGTCCTTACTGGCTGCCTCTGTGGGCAGATGGTCAGCCCGAAATGGCGCAGTGTGACCAAAGGTGAGGAGGGGCTAGCTCGAGAATTAGGATGGATACGCTCTAATGCTTGTTTGCACACATGTGAAACACATCCCTTTTCACCAACCCTAGCAGAAGACTAGACGACCACATTGAAAGTTTGACTAAATGGCGTTGATTTATTGTTGTTTGTTTGTTTGCTTGCGTATTATTTATTCATTTATTTATTTATTTATTCATCTATTTATTTGCTTATTTAGATATTTATTGATTCATTAATTCGTTCACTTATCTTTTTATTTAACTATTTGTTTGCTTTCTTGCTTGTCTTTTTGTTTGTTTGTTTATTTATTTGTATGCTTGTTTGTCCGTTTGTTTATGTATTGCAGGCTTAGGGCGCACGATGACCTCGTGTCGTCGTAAGGAGCTGTCAGACGTAGTTCATGAATCACGCTCTGACCGGCCTCGAGTGATTCAGAAAGCACCAGCAGGTAGGTTTCATCACTTGGGTGGCGCTGGTGATATTTTGTTGGAGTTTGCCCCGAAGTTTAGTTTAAAAACGTCTACGGACGGAGGCACATCAAACAGACAAGTGTTTGTTAAGCCTTTCGGCGGTGTTAGGCGATCAAGATGAATATTTCGGCGTTGATGGTAAGTTTAACTGCACTTCCGGAAAGAACTCCAAGAGAGAGAGAGAGAGAGAGAGAGAGAGAGAGAGAGAGAGAGAGAGAGAGAGAGAGAGAGAGAGAGAGAGAGAGAGAGAGAGAGAGAGAGAGAGAGAGAGAGAGAGCAGTTTTTAACAAAATTTCTTACTTTAAACAATTAACACGTGCACTGCAGATGTATGCTTTCTTATTGTCAGACGTATCGTTTATTTGCGAATCTGTGCTCAAAATTTTTGTTAGCAGTCGGTAAATGCGTATGATCCGTCAACGTTGATTGCGTTGCTCTTTTCCAGTCTTTCATAAGAGACACAGTCTGACCGCCGGGGTTTCCGTCCCAGCTGCTTCTGATTACGAGCGAGCGAGCGCAGCGAGCGAAGTGAGTCTTTTCAATATAACGGAAAAATCTCAGTATGAGCGGCCCGGCCCGGCCCGGCCCGGCCCGGCCTGTAACGCTTTTGAGAGGCTTATATCTCAGCAACCGCTGGACCGATTGGCCTGCGGTCTTTTTTGTTGGGTAGCCCCATCCCTTCTACCCCGTAATTGACTACTTTTGATACATCTCAGTGACCGTCGTGGCACGTGCCACGTGAAAAGTCAAGGGTGTTCAAGCAGTTTTGTAAAAGTAATGATTTTGAGAGGCCCATATCTCAGCAGCGGCTTGAGCGATTGTCTTGCGGTCATTTTTATAGGGTAGCAGCATCCCTTCTACCAAAAATAGGATACTCTCGATGCATGTGGGTCAAATCCAGTGCACGTGCAAAATACAACAATAAGAGGTGTCAAATTTGTTCCCATTTTAATAACTCGGTAATTACTGGGGCGATTTCGCTGAAACTTGGCATACAGGTAGGCACCCACCAGGCAATGCATTCCCATGTGTTGCGGTTAGGGTGCTACTGCACGTGCGCACGTGCAGGGGGCGTTTCCAGATCTCGAGAACGGCTGGGCCGATTGCGCTCAAATTTGGTACACGGTTGGGGACCGGTTAGTAGGGTACCGTGCAAAAGTCATTTTGGACCCCGTTTGCACGTGCGCACGTGCAGAATGCCGCTTCCAGATCTCAGGAACGGCTGGGCCGATTGCGTTCAAATTTGGCACACCGCTAGCGACCGGTTAAAAGGGTGCTTTGCACAAGCCCGTTGGAAGTACCCTCTCGCCCTTCTGCACGTGCAGGGCTCACTATCTCGCTCGCTCGTTCTTCGCCCAAAAGGCGTTTTACTGGTGTACCTCTTGCTGTTGCTGGTCGCACTCCCTGTGGCAATCGGTCATCCGCAAACAGTCATAATAGTTGTACCAAAGAAATAATCAGCATGGTGCTCGCCTTCCCATACTGCTGCAACTATGCTGCGACTTGACCAAGACCAGAAGGAGTCTGAGACCTCTGATTGACTAGATATCGGCTGTGTCGACCAGATCGACTGCTAATGAGAGAAACCGGCATTCGACTTTGTTCATCACAAATAAGATTATTACTCGTAATCCTAGTGGAATGGCATTGTTGGAATTGTGAGGTGTTTTTTGAATTGTGTTTAGATTCCAATATATTTCGGGAGCCTCGATTTTTTTTCTACTGCACAACTTATTAGAGTTCTACAACATTATGTTTTTACCCGAGCGCATTGTACACTCGATGTTTGACAAAGTAGCGTTACGGGCGCTGTAAAATGACAGTCAGTGATTCACCAGGGGCCGATTTCCAGTGACCCACAAAACGTCAAACCGTAGATGTCATTCCTGAGGTCGTGGCGGTGATATTTAGCTGAAGCGCAGTTCAGAATTCAGTCCGTAGGAGGTTGTAACACGAGGCACACCGAAAAAGACAAGAGGACAAACCTGTTTCTAAGATGAGTCGCTTTGCTTTGATGGTAAGTTTTACTGCTGTGTGGGAAAGAAATGTCAGAGAAGGACAGAGAGAGTGGGGTAAGAGAATGAGCGCTGAATTAGTTGTTTCGCAAATCCTTCCTTCTACATATTATCGCTCGAGCTGTGTATTGTTTACCCAATCTCTTCTTCATGACTGATTTTCGTGACTCAACCCCATGCATCTTTTTGTCAATATATGCTCAACAACATTGAGTGGCTGCATTTGGTTCATGTTAACAAACATGCCTATGTATGACAGAACATTTCCATTTATCATGGTTGTAATAATTGCTCTTGTTTGTGTATAGCATTAATAGATAGTAACATGTAAATTTTCAGCGGTTTGTTAAATATGCGCATTTTTGTGAATTCCTGATAATTCTTTCTCATATTTGTCCGTAATGACACCAGCCAACTAGCTGACCTGTCTGTCATTTGCAGGTGGCGGCGGGTCTGGCGCTCCTGACTGCTGAGATGACTCTGGTGGTCAGCCATCCACAATACACAGAACCCAATGATCCTCCCAAATCTGTGTGCGAGTGCTTCCAGTGCTGTCCCAAGTGTGAACGAAGGTGCTGGTACTGCTGCTATGCTCGTACGGAACCAACACTGCCAAACAGAGCTGTGGAGTCGGAGTTCAAACCATCAGCGGCCAAAGTCGACAATACTGGCCCGATTCTGAATGGGAGTCAGATAAGCCTAAATCTTACCGATTCCGTACTGTTTGAAGGCTAGCAGCAAGCATTTTCATGTGTAAAATATTACGCCAATACATATATCTATTCATGGTAGATTTTGACGAAACAAATGTCATCCCTATACTTTTTTCCGGTAGGACCTTTTTGGACGTGAAAAGCACCATGGGGGGAAGCGCTGTGTCATTGTAGGGAAGACTTGAGTCGGTCCTGTAGGTCTGTCGTTATCTGCATCTCCCCTCTGGCCGCTACTACGCAATGTTGGGGCGGACGCGGTAGGTATCGTGCCCTGGTGGGTTTTTAGTTAAGCTCCTGACCATTGATGACAATGACTAGGCCAGTATCCCGAGGGTAGTCGGAACCTACCTGGTGCCAGTTGCCAGCAGCCTGAAGAGCAGCCGGGTGCTCAGCGTTGCCATTACAGACACCGACACCCCGACTACTGCTCATAGCGCGCTAATGCACTGTGCTCCAGGCGGACGCGTCCTGACCATTCGACCCGAGGCCAAGGTCGGCTGATAAGCGCGCCTCGTTCCGAGCACGCGGCCTCCATCGGTTCCGCACACCACGACCTCGTTCGCCAGCATGAGCCAGAACAAAAAACACCTGACGACGGCACATACGGCACCTAACGAACATTGCTACTCTACAATACGATTGCGAACAACGTGTAACATACAACACAACAACTTCGAGCACAACAAAATTAGCCAAGTTAGCACCGTCTACGCCGGCCCGGAAACATTTCTACAAAGGCAGAGCATGACGAATAGATGTCATTCTTCCGTTTTGGTCGGAGCTGTTTGGGCGTGAAAAGCACAAGAGGGAATAGGAGTACTCAGCACGCTGCGTTAGCGTCTTATTTTGGTGCGGGTACTGTTAAGCTTTTCCTAAATATTCTAGCACATCATGCTAAGAAACTACCTCGAAATGCGCCCCGGTATCGTTCAAGCAAAGCAAATTAGCATCTCCGATGTGAGCACTGAACGATATTATTGTGATGGGAATTTTGAGAATACCCGATGCAGGCCGCCCCATACACTGAAAACAAATCGACACAGTGAGGGCATGTTCTGTACTGGTGTCATGTGTTATTCGCACCCAAAACACAATAAGGTTGAGTATTTTCACGCTTGGCGGGACTTTCGACACGTTTGACAACACATAAAACAGAATAATGACACAATTTTCTCGTGCCAAGCACGCTGGACGAATGTAATGCATCAGTGTTGAGTGTATCGAAATCATGTGTTGTCGGATATGGTAGACGTGTACCCTTGCACAAATACACCGTGCCATCCACCAGTCAGCGACCTCTGAACCTTAACTTCAGATGGGGATAATAGACGGCCTTTTTTGAGCACGACTTCTATGCTGGGTTTTTGGGAAAATTTGCCAAAGTGTTTTGAGAAAGGTCAAAATGCACAATACAACCGAGGGATTCGATACTTGATAAATTGTCTAGAGCAATATGCGCTGATTACATCAAGTGCAAGCTGAAGCATAGCTAATTAACGTCTGCTTAGAGGAGCAGCCTGGTTCCGTTCAGATACCGACTTTTATATCACACAACATTGAAAGCAACCAAAGTAAAAGCTTAACTCATGTTTTTCATACTACAGGCGCTGTAAAAGTGACAATCGGTGTATCACCAGGGATCGATTTCCAGCGACTTACAAAATGTCAGACCGTATGTGTCATCTCTGGTGTCATGGTGGCAATATTTCCCTGAGTCGCATTTCGGCATTCAGTCCGTAAGCGTTTGTATTGTAGGCCGAGGCACACCGAAGAAGACAAGAGGACAAAGCTGTTGTAGATATGGGTCGCTTTGCTTTGATGGTAAGTTTTACTGCTGCCTTAAAAAAATAACAATGCAATGAAAAGACAAAAGAGGAATATTTCGTGTTGGATTTTAAATTCTCGCTTGAGTTGCCAATCGCTTTTTATTAGATTTCCTTGCTGCTGCACCACCGGAATATTTGCTATCAGTAACAACATGCTTTATAACAACAGTAACAACAACTACTTAGTATTTGCGTAATGCATATATTGATTGCTTCTATTCTATGCTATTGAAAATACTGATACATGACTTAATAGCTCAATTTAAAAAATGTGAAATAAATGAGCGTGTCTGAACATATTGTTTATATGTTACAGCATTGGTAATGCACTATGCAGGTACGAATTTAAATAATGTTGTTTGCACTAAGACGTTGCTATGAAACTCGCTTCGATAAGACCTAACGTTTCTGTCCATGTCTTTCAGTCGCCTGTCAGTTTCTATTCCCACTGACCGACTTGTCTGCTTTTCTCAGCTGCTGCTGGCCGGCCTCGTGCTGCTGATGGCTGCACTTGCAGTACCTCTGGCGTTTGGCCATCCGCAAGTGGTGATACCCACGAGGCCGCCCTGGTGCCGGTGCCAGTGGTGTTGTCCTTTTTGTGACAGATGGTGTCTGACCTGCTGCCTAGCTTGAAAGCCGGCGCAGTGAGGGCAGAGTTGAGTCTGTGCACGGCTTCCGATCAGCTCCGATGGGATGGTATATAACTGGCCTCGTTAAACAGATATAAACAAATATGACAAATAAAGGAACTTGTTTTACTGGACATGATGGTTGATACTTGATGCTCTTTCATTGTGTTCGTGAAAAAGTACCCCACCGTAAAATATGAGCATTTGACATTTGAATATATTGGTGAGTGATGTGTCTTGGAAACATTTTGACTGTTTTTCAACAAGCTTGGCTAATAAACGGATCAATTTCCGTTGGTCTGCCTTGGAATAACAGCATTGGCATATGCACTAGAAAGCTTCCGACCAGGAAGCACGTATTTTGAAAAAGAATCAGACGCAGTGTGTATAGCCTAGCTTATTATCAATCCGGACGTAGGCCTTGAGTGCGTAAGTGCCCCCATAGACCGCGTCGCGTGAAATCCATTATCCATGTCAGACTGTCCAGAAGCGACATTAATTCTGTTACCGATGACATCCTTCATTGCTGTTCCATTTTCATAGCTTCCACCTAGGGCAGTGCCAGGTGGCATTGTCACGCGCGAGGTTGTCAGCACAATAATATTATTCATTGTGCTGCGTGCCTCGCGTCTAAGCTTATTGCAATACAACCATCCCGAACGAAGTGCGACACCATGCGCGTTACAGTTATGGCGCATTGTTGCGTCGGAACACGTCAGTATTTCAAGACACGCATTGCACGCAACGCAATGCGGTGCCGCGTTTATAGTTATACTTATACTGCTGACAACGCACGTAACGGTCCACATGACTCAGTTTCTGGCCATGCGGCGCAGTATGCCTACATGCGCAAACAACCCCTGCCATCTAGCAGGACTGTTTGAAGCCTTTTCTGTCTTGCGGCGCAGTATGCCTTCAGGCGTAGACTACGCCTGCCATCTAGCGGGAGAGTTTGAAGCTCTGTTCTGCCATGCGGCGCAGTATGGCTTCAGGCGTAGACTACTCTTGCCATCTAGCGGGAGAGTTTGAAGCTCTGTTCTGCCATGCGGCGCAGTATAGCTTCAGGCACAGACAATGCCTGCCATCTAGCGAGAGGAATAATAAGCTGCATGCAGCTATGCGGCACAGCATCATCACAGGCAAATACGCTGCTGCCATCTAGGGGTAGGAATGCGAGTAATTTATAGAATCCGAGGAACGTGAGTCTACGAAGAAGAGATAGGCATAGAAATCTACAATTGATTTGCACTGCAGTAGCTACTGATGTCACAATGATAAGATTTCAATTTTTTGTTGATATTCACATGCCGAATCCTAATGCATTCTCTACTTACGTACGTACGGCGCTACGGCCAACTGGCGCACCTCGTAATTCCAGAATGCTTACGTTTTTCGACTTGTCCTCTATTCACGAAGAAAACTGTTTCTTCACCTCCACATCTAGGTCACGCCCCGGCCACAAACTCTCGACACCACACACCCTTCTCACTCCCCACCAGCCGCCGACTGCCGGGCTGCTTTGTTGCGCCCGCGCCGCGCCGGTCGGGGAGGGACGCTGCATTGTTGACGACTGCCGACTGCCAAGTCAGACCCCCGGGGCCGGCTGCTGGCACCGGTCAGATATGGGACGGCGGAGGAGAGGGCGGCAGGCAACAACAGCGGCCCCGTGGCCCCGTTTTCAGCCCGGCTGGGGCTGCCGGGAGTCGGTAGATAATCGATAATTCGGCTTCCAGATGGACCAAATTGAGACTAGCTTTAAGCGTAAATTTTCAAGCATCATAAGTCGGCACTTATCGATCTGATATTTTTTCTATGAAAAAAGACCTCAAAACGATCGATTTAGAAAACCTAGTTTGACTTGATTTTGGCGTCGCGCTAGCATGCTTGGCCTGCCAAAATCAATTCCCCATCTACTTGTGACTTGAGACGTTATATGTAAGTACGTACATGTGCTCCTGCTGCTTATCTAAGATTCCTTTGAGATGCAAGCCGGAGAGGAAGACCGAGGAACTATCAGTTCAGGGGCAGCCAGCAACCAGTCTTAAACCTTCATAGAGTGTAGGCTGAACCAAAGGCAATATATTGAATCGAGCGTATGCAACTGCGTATCTGGGTTTCTGCAGCAGTTGCCTTCTCCCCAGCCTGCTATACCGCGAAAGGGCATTTCGTCAGTTTTTAGCGACATCTACCTAGCGATTTGGCTCTTTACTAGCGCCACCTCTGTAAACTACTGCCCGCTATCAGCTGACCGGCGGCAATCAGCTGATGCGCGCCAGCTGACTGCTGGCTGCGTTCCTGACGTCACGGCGTCAGTCGTGCGCGAGTTGTCTCGGAGGTGGGTGTGTGTGGCTGGTGCGCGCGCTTCTGACTGCGCACTGCGCGTTCATAAATACCCACGGAGCAATATGCACGCAGCAGCCACCACAAAGAGGCCGCCACGAGTGGTGACCAGGAGCAAATCAGGTCAGTGCTGACTGGGTCACTGGAAACAGCTGTTGGGCGCTTCACTGTGTTTTGACTGCTTTTCTAATGTTGATATTCTTGTGTTTGTGATTGACAGGCGAATGTGTGTTTGAAACGATAAGCCGTGTTGACAACTGAACTCTCTTATGATGGCTGTTAGGCTAAGCGTGTGGTATATTGTGAGAACTCTCGGGAAACTTTCACGCCGGCCTTGCACGGTGACGGGTCAGTCCCACATATTGTCACGACCCCAGCGAAGGCTGCTGTCGTTGGAATTCTGTCGTGAATCGGCCATTGTTATTGGATCTGCTATTGGACTGCACATATATTGGACCCGTGCATGTCTATTGCTGACTTCAAGTTGAAATTGCACCTGCTATAAATGGAATGTTGAACTAGCAGTAGCTCAACAATTATATAATCACCACGATCAGTCCCCCCAATTTGTGTTCCGCCTCATTTAAACATAGTTAATTGCAGGGATCTATGAAAGCAACGATGCATCTACGCCGATCCACGACTTCCAAACCCGAGAACTTTTCTACGCCGTAACATTTGGGATCGCGACATTGACGGACACCTTCCGTGTCCATCGTTTCCTGAACCGATTTTCCTCGGGGAAATGCCGGAATACGCGATTCCAGACCAAGACAGTCGCTCTTCCATAACGGCCTATTACACAGTCGGGTTCACTGTGTCACATTTGACCTGACCTGACCTGTGACGTGATTGCTGCTTTCCAGGAGCGGGCGCTGCCTCTAAAGGTGTGCCACATTCCGGTCAGAAGCGAGACAGTCGACAGAAGTCATCCTCCGAGTCGTCAACTCCTTCATCTCCCGAAATCAGGTGGGAATGAGTTTGACTTTTCCCTTGCTGAATTGCCCTTCCAGTAGTCGATAGATCAATGGTTATTTACTCGTGGTCGTTTATAGATGCTTCATAGCTAGTTGGAAGGAGCTGGTTAAATGAGAACCTGAAGAATTAAACTAAATTGTATTGCATTACATTCTTCGCCATCAAATCATTGAAGGAACGTTTGGGTCATTAACCCTAGAACGCCTAGGGGGGGGGGGGTTGTATCAACCCCCCCCCCTGAGGTTTTTTCGAAGTGCACGCTAAACGGCTTGTCGTAGCGGGCTGAAATTTTCAATACCCTCTGGGGCAACCTTTGCGCATCTTTTGCCGAAAAAAATTGATCGGGTCATGTCAGGTCACGGAGTTATGACGTCATAAGAGGTACAGCCTCCGGCCGACAGTTACCAAACGTGTGCGCCGAATCCCTAGGTTTTCTGCCGGTGATACCCACATTGTTTGATGGATCATGATGAAACTTCCCATGCATGTTGGGGCAAGCATTGGCTATCGTGTGGTGCAAGAAAATTGACCGGATCAGGTCAGGTCACGGAGCTATGACGTCACAAGAGGAACAGCGTCCGGTACTATTTTTGAAAAGCGCCCGAACCACTATTTTGCTAATTCTTGTCACCTCAATGGGAATATGCAGCAATATTAGCTTCTATAGGGAGCAAATGGACCTCCCAAATCCAAAAATACAATCAGATTTCAAAAATTTAAATTTTGATTTTTCGAATTTCTGCCGCCGACTGTGACCTTGCCGACTTCCGGCGCTCCCAACGCGCCATTTTTAGAGCTAGGGAAACGAAATACATACCAAACGATAGAGAATTGATCAAGGAACACGATAGTGAAGGTTTCAAGTCGATATCTCCCACCGTTTTGCCGCAATCGCCGCGGAAAGTTGAAAAAGTTTGATTTTTCGGAAAATTTGACCTTTGACCGGCCATAAGTAGATCAAATGTTGACCTAGGACCAAAAAATATACCACCAATCGCGAGATCTCGTTGAGAGCAATCCGTTGGTTTTTTCCGCTAAGCTCTACGACCTTCCGTTTCGAAACGCCAGGGGGGGGGGGTCGTAACAACCCCCCCCCCCCTGGTCGTTCGTGTTATGAGAAATGGCCTGGTCGTGCGAGGGTTAATTCATTATCGTTACTATCTTCGGGTTATGGTTGGCGGTCGGTTCCCATACGATGGCACCCGGAACTGTCCTTTGCCCCCCCCCCCCCGGGGGAGTGCGCGTAGAACGGTCCTGCCGATAACCCCGTTCGTGTGTCAATCGCCGTCAAACGGTCCATAGCCGAGATTACTGCCGATAACCTTTGGACCGGGACATTCCTCAGGGAAGGGTCGCCCCCCCCCCCCCGCTGGGTGGCGCGGTCCCGCGGACGCTGGGTCAAGGAGGGGGAGGGGGACGCTAGGGCTGGAGACTGGTCCCTCCTCCCATTAGCCTCTGACCAGGCAGAAATAACGGTCTCGCCGCATTTACTTGGGGAGACGCTGGCAATGGTAATGGGCATTCCAACCTGTACCGGGGGCAGTGTGGAAACGTGAGTCGGACTGTGTCACCCCTCTCCTGTCCCATGCCACTAAACCTCGGGGGGGGGAGGGGGACGCACGTGTTTGGGATTAGCGTTAGCCTCTGAATGGGGAGCCGATTTCAGTAATTAGTCTGTGTGTCGGTTGTTTCGACTAGCCTCTGCCTGGGTCATAGCGTGGGGGACGACCCACGAGACTGATGGGTTTACCAGCACCGGCATAGTCCGTTTTGAACGCCTTACTCTCACTTAATCCTGAGAGCAGACTTATTAATGTCGACACTCCAATAATGTTTTTCGATTTTCCCTTTCTATCTCGTCTGGTCTGTCCCGTCATGTCCCGCTTCCTCCATCCGTGTTCCTTCTGACCTGTCTCTGTTTCGGACCCACGACTGAACACGTGCCTGTCTAACCCGTGGCGCGCATTGTCCGTTCTATCTCGTCTATCTGTGCCCCATTCGTCTGATTCGTCTTTCCCGTTCCCGTCTTAGCCGTCTAGCCATCTCGCCCGTCTATGCCTCCTTGACTACTCCCGTCTGACCCTTTCCGTGTTCTATCATACTTCATCTACGCTGTATTTTCCGTCGCCCCCGTGGTGTTTTATCCGATCTGACCCCGTGTTTATAGTTGCCTTGTCTGACCCTAGTTACCGATGTTTTTCTCCCTCAGCTCCGGTCGTGCGATGTACCCCCCATCACCACACCACCACCAGTATCACCAGTACCAGTATCAGCACCAATATCAGCACCAGCAGCACCAGCACCACGGGCAGCATCCCCAGCAGCACCACCAGCAGGGTCGGAGACACCACCAGCGGGCCAGGAACGAGCACCAGCATCATCAGCAACAGCAGCACCAGCAGCAGCAGCTGTCGCCTCAGCATATGGAGACGGTGCGGTTTCTAAACCAAAGTGAGTGGAAATACGGGATATGACGAGGTGCGGTAAAAATGTAATATTTTAGTGGTGGGTTCATTCGTCATACATCTCTGATTTTGCGCCTCGTTTCACGTTACGGACGATACGGTAAATGCGACATCCTTTTATTATTTAGGGTTATTTCTTGGTATCATTGACCGTTTTCGGCGATAGAAGATCGTTTCATTCCTCCGGTTGAAATAATCATAACGCTCTTCGTGTGTTATGTTGAGACGTGTTTGTTTTGACGCCCTGTCCCAAACATCTCGTGCATTCGGTGTATCAGCCACGTGAAAATGCCTCTCTGGCTCTTCCCGTCCCCGGCTCTGTCCCGTGAAAGTGAGACCGTTTTCTGACGGTGCCGTCCCGTTTTTTTTCAGCATGGAGAACAGTGCAGGAGGAATGCGAGAGCTCTGGGTCAGGAGGTGGTGGTAAGTTAAAACCCGATTTACACACTTAGAAGGCTGGCGCTGCATGATCCTGCCTTTATCGCACCCCTGAACCCCAACAAATTCACCGCTCAGATGGATAATACGGTGAATGTTCATCTTCGTTTGTCGTTAGTTGTCAGTTATCACCCACGCAAAGTGAATGCTAATTGTTAAATGGCGAAAGTTTTCTCTTTAATTACGAGCTGTGCGGGTTCAGTAAGGAATATTATCTGGGTTTTCTGGAAACAACCATCACATCCCTTAGCTGTGTTTCATGTTTATAATACTTTCACTAAGTCATTATTCCAAAGTATGTATTCTGTAACACTCTCATTCGTGTCCCCCAAATAATGCACTAATAATTTTCTATTCAATGCACGTGACAAGTATGTAACGTGTTACACTACACTCGCTTCCAATAATATAAGTCAGCCAACGTCACATCCTCCTTCCTCCGAGGACATTGAGGAGGATCTGACCTCCCCTTCTGTAGGTACAGAAACGATTCGGAAGAATAGTCCCTCTCTTGGGAGCTGGGTGGTTGTCTGCTGCTTTTTCTTAATAACTGCGTCAATGAGCTTAGCCACGTCACATGAGCCTAGACAAGCCACATCTTCCCTCCTCTGGCATTAAGGTAGCCTTGACCTGCTCCTCAGCTGATATGGAGACCGGCTCAGAGGAGGTGGCTGGGTCGGCCGCTCCTCCCGAGTGCCCATGTGGGGCACTGGTATGTACAGGTAATCATCGTCAGATGATCCAGCTGCCGGGTGACTACAGGTCTCTCCAGGTGAGAAGAGGCGAAGGTGCCGCCTGTTGCGGCGATACGTCCCGGCACTATCCGTCCTCACCAGGTACGACCGGTTCCCGAGACAGCTTGTGATCACTCCGGGAATCCACTTGTGTTTCCCTGGCGCAGGCGTCATGTACACGTTGTCACCCACACTCAGCTGCTTCAGATCCTGAGCGGTCCTGTTGTAGTACGTTGCCTGTTTCTGTTGCCGGTCGACTAGCTTACTCGGGACCTGTCGAACAGTTTCCGGTACCAGCAGTCGTGATGACGTTGGAAGTAGGGTCTTCGTCCGACGGCCGAAGAGTCGCTGTGCAGGTGAGCTCCCGATTCTCTCTGTCGGGGTGTTGCGCCAGTCCAGAAGTGCGAGATATGGATCGCGGCTATCTTCCTGAGCTTTGATCATCAGACTTTTCAGTATTTTGACAGCACTCTCTGCTTTTCCATTCGACTGTGGATAGCCTGGCGAGCTGGTGACGTGTTTAAACTCATACAGCTGAGAAAAGGATTTGAACTCTGCAGAGTTGAACGGAGGACCATTGTCACTCATCACCTTGTCAGGAATTCCGTGCCTTGCCATTTGAATCTTGAGTAGTCTCACGATATCACTTGCCCTCTTGCTGATGAGGCGATCAACTTCGATGAAGTCAGAGTAAACATCTACTGTTACTAGGTATGAGTGTCCTTGAAAATCCATTAAGTCACATGCTATGTTCTGCCACGGCCGTTCCGGTACTTCATGTGACTTCAACGTTTCTTTTCTTTGTTTGCTTCCGTGGGCCATGCATGTTGTGCACTTTGATATGTAGTTTTCGAGGTCTTGGTTCATCCCTGGCCAGAAAATGGCTTCTCGTGCTCTCCTGAGGCAGCCTTGAAGTCCTATATGAGAGGAGTGCACGCGTTCTTTGAGCTTCTGCTTCGCTGCCTCTGGAATGCAGAGCCTATCTCCTTTGAGAACGAGTCCGTCTCTCATCGTCAGTTCATCCTTGACATTATAATACTGCCTTAGATGTCCAGGCACTCTGTTCTTGTCAGCAGGCCATCCCTGTTTGATCATCAGCTGGACGTCTTGCAACGTCTTATCCTTCGAAGTGGCTTCTACAATCAGCTCTTTCGTCATCTTTGAGACAGGAAGCCACTCGATGATGTCCACGTCTCTCACTTCAAATTCATCAGCCGAAGCAGTCTCTCTGACGTGGCACACATGTTCAGTGGGTGCGTCAGACTCGGTTGACTCTTCATGCGCGCGACTCAATGTATCCGCGAGATACATTTCTTGGCCTTTCTTGTACACCACTTGGAACTGAAATTTCTGTAGTCCCAGCATCATTCTCTGTAGTCTCTTTGGTGCTTTTATCAGCTCTTTCTTGAGTATAGCTTCTAACGGCTTGTGATCCGATTCCACCGTGACTTCTTTCCCTTGAGTGTACCGCTCGAACTTGTTGAGACCGTATACTATCGCCAGCATCTCCTTCTCTATCTGTGCATAGTTTTTCTCTGTCTCAGTCAACGATCTCGACGCATACGCCACAGGCTGCTCGTTTTGCATGAGGCACGCGCCTAATCCATGGTGTGACGCGTCTACCTGTACTACAACATCTTCGTTTACATTGTAGTACTTGAGGACAGGGTCACGCGTGATGATCTGTTTGATTTCTGCCAGGGCACGTCCATGGACATTTTCTTCGTAGATGAAGAGATTTTCCTTCTTTAGAAGGGCTCTCAACGGGGCAGATACTTCAGCTAAGCGCGGTGAGAACCTTTGCAGATAGTTGACCAGACCAAGAATGCGCTGAACACCTTTTCGGTCCACTGGTGGAGGCATGTTGGTCACTGCACTGATCTTTTCCGGATCCGCTTTTAGGCCGTCTGCTGTGAACATGTGGCCCATGTATTTGACCTCGCTCTGTCTCAGTTTCAGTTTTTCGAAGTTCAGCTTTATTCCGACTTTTCTGCAGCGTTCCAGGAGGCAGATCAGCTTTTGATCGTGGTCTTTTGTCGCTTCATCACTGGTTGGTCCGACTCCATACACTAATATGTCGTCTGCGATGGGACGGACGCCATCAAGTCCCTCCAGAGCAAGATTCAACCTCCTCTGGAACTCTTCAGATGCTAGGCAGATGCCAAATGGCAGACGTTTCCAGCGGAACCGGCCCCATGGTGTCCCAAAGGTGGTCAGATAGCTGCTCTCCTCGTCTAGTTCCACGTGCCAATAACCGCTCTTGGCATCACATACCGTGAATACTTTGGCCTTTGTCAGCTCCGGTAAGATGTCTTCGATAGTTGGCAGAGGAAAGTGGTTGCGTTTTATCACTCGATTGAGTGGCTTCGGGTCTATGCAGATTCGTATTCCCTTGTTTGGCTTCTGCACCGCCACCATGCTCGAGATCCACTCTGTGGGCTCCGAGACGGGCTCAATAATCCCATCGCGTTCCATCCGTTCTAGCTCGGCTTTAACTTCTTCTTTCAGTGGTTCAGGGACAGGCCTCGTTGGTAACTGCTCTGACGGTTTAGTTTCGTCTGTTTGGATGTGCAGTTTTCCAGGCAGTCTGCCGATGCCTGTGAAGACGTCCTGGTATCTAGCATGTAGATCTTCTTTTGACTTTGGGATTCCATCTTCTTTTGATTGTGGAGTCTTGTTCTCTTCCTGTGATTCCAGCGTTGAGATATTTTCTGTCCTCACGCTGATGAGGTGCATTTCCTGCAGCGTTTTTGATCCAATCAAGGGACTGAAGTCTTCACGCACGACGATGAACTCCACATTGTAGTTCAAGCCGTTCCTGGGGTTCATGACGTCCATCTTCACCTTTCCCACGGGCTTGGTGATGCTCTTGTTGAACATCACCAGTTCAGTGGTGCACGGTCTCAGTTTGCTCATCTTTTGATCACGACATGCCTTTTTGTACACATGTTGAGGTATGATGTTGGCTGTTGCACCGGTGTCCAGTTGAAACTTTTGTAGATGGTCGTTTTCCAGCAGCAGATGAGCGAAGATCTTGCCAGACACAGATCTATCTGAGATAGCCCCTACATCTAGGGACAGCACGCTTTCTGTTCCGCGACTCGTTTGGTTTTCAGTTTCGGCAAGTTCGACTGGTGCGGTCATATGCACTTCAGCCTGGTGACATCTGGAGGAGAAATGATTCTTCCGGCCGCAAGCTTGGCATGTTTGGCCCCATGCAGGACACAGCTCTTTTTTGAACATGTGTTCGCGGCCACAGAATTTGCATCTCCCATGGCGAGTACTTTGTGCTCGCTGAGACCGTCTTGGATCCGGCACCGTTGCTCGCTCCTCCTTGTATCGGAAGTCCCTCCTTTGTGTCTGAAGCTTGTGCACCTCCGCACCCTCTCGATTTGTCATACTGTTCATTTGTTTTACGGTAGCTTCATGTGCCTTCACAACCGCGGTAGCTTTGGCCAATGTCAGATCTGGTTCTTGGAGCAGGCGCCGCCGAACCGACTCATCTGGGATCCCCAATACTATCCTGTCTCGGATCAGGCTTTCTTCCAGATCTCTATAGTTGCACGACTTCGCTAGTTTTCTCAGCTCGGCCACATATAAATCGATACTCTCACTGCTTTCCTGATTACGCAGGTTGAACTTGTATCGTTCGAATGTCTCATTTGTTTTCCCGATGCAGAATTCTTCGAACTTTTGCAGAACCACGTCGACCTTCTTCTGTTCTCCCTCATCTGGACACAGTCCATCGAGAACGTTCAACGCTTCTGATCCCAGACATGTGAGCAGGGTAGCTGCTTGAACCTCCGCCGTTTTCTCATTCAGTCCTGTTGCGATGCTATAATTATTCCATTGGCGTCGCCATGTCTTCCATGTTGCAGTCAGCGCGTCTGTATCTGTCAGTGACAACGGCGGCGGAATGGGGAATCCGACAAACCCGTTACTTGCCATTCTTGCACAGTGAATAGGTAGTAAGATACTCAAAGCTCACAGTACCTATTGTCTGAACATTACGTTAGTATTATTCTTAGCGTGAGAGCTGGGTTACGTTCACTTCTGACACCATGTTTCATGTTTATAATACTTTCACTAAGTCATTATTCCAAAGTATGTATTCTGTAACACTCTCATTCGTGTCCCCCAAATAATGCACTAATAATTTTCTATTCAATGCACGTGACAAGTATGTAACGTGTTACACTACACTCGCTTCCAATAATATAAGTCAGCCAACGTCACAAGCTGGTTCTGAATACTTTCCTTTTGCCATCCCGTAGCTAATAGCTATCTTAAGCTATTTCGATCATGGTTCATCGCTTATTCAATGTTATCTTTGCCTTTTTTACGTTATCGTGGTAACTAACTCAGAACTGATTGCTAGCGATCCTTATGAATCATATACAAATTTCTAACTTTTTTTGTCCCATGCCTATTAAATTGTCCACCATGAATTGTTCACTTATGTTTGTATTGTCCCATATCGCCATTGCTCGATATCACGTAAGTTAACTTGCCTTTGTTTCAGATGTCTCCTCACTGTACTATCAGGAACCGGCGAAACACCCGGCGTTACAAGGTAATGTTTCTACTGATACAGCCGGTCATATTGGTATCAGCTTAGCTTCTAGAGACCTTAAATGTGTGTGATGGCTCTGTATTTCAGTACAACCTGAAAAATCAGGTTGTACTGAATAGACTCAGAATGGCTCCGCCGTCGACGCGCTCCCCCCCCCCCCTCCCCTAAAAACAAACAAACGACAAACAAACAAACAAACAAACAAAGAGGGTTGTGCCGAAGTCATGGCCGGATGTGACCGTGATTTACTCAGGATGGTGCCCTCGCTGCGGAGAGTCTGACGTATTCTTGTAGTGTCGTGGGTGTCTCTGCTGCAGATACAGATATCGGTGACTCCAAATGGTCGCCAGACGCCCAGGCGAGCAACGGAACTCATTATACTGAAGCAACCAATAAATGCAATCGCCTTCGTTTAAATTGGGATCCACGACTGACCACTTAACCTTTCAGGCTAATTGATTCTTTGACAGAACAATGGTAACATGTCAATTTTCCCGGTATTGTTTGACGGCAACTGCGACCAAGTTTCATAGATAACGATCGTCGATCATGTAACCACGCATTTGCTCATTTCTCATTTCTATGCAGCCACCTGAGGCGAGGTAATGACGTCACTGGCTATTTTGACGGCACTGGATCATATTCGTGTAGTTACGGACTTTATTGGCTCGGTTGTTTCAGATTTCAAGCCGTTCGATCTGGAGTTATTCTGGGGGCGGCAGCTGCACTGTCGGCTCACCAAAGGCAACAGCTGAACATCTCATCGGCACCCGTCACCGCAGTGTGATGACGTCACCGGAGTCTGATGACGTCACTGGAGTGGCACCCGTTCACGTTTTTCATAATATCACGGTTGTGAGTGGTGTTACTTTTGTAGAACAAGCATCAGTTTTAGGGGGAAGGGGTTCTGTTTCCGAATCTGAAGATGTTGTGTTATGTCAGAATCATGACATAACGGTCTGTCATAATGTGACATCAGCGACATGACATCATGATGTCATGGTGTCACATTAGGGTGACTGCACCACAGCTGTGATATTGTCGCCAAATCGCGATACGTCGGTGTGCTGTGACGACGCTCGCGAGCCGCCGCCGCAGCCTTGGTTTTTGCAATTGTTTCATTCCGGTTTGTTGTTTGTGCGTGTTTTGCACGTTGACGCAGCAGTTTTAGTACCAAGTGAGTGCTTGACTGTTGTTTTTACTTGAATCTAGAAGAGGCTAGCTGGATAGATGCTAGCAAGACGGCGATTAGATAGATCTTGCGCTATCTCTCACTTGAAGGCGCCGCTAAGTAATTGCGGTGCCGTTGCCATGGCAGCCTGCATTTTCCATTTAGACAAGCACAATGCGATAGACAAGAAAGCTTTATCGATGGCTGTCGTTGAGTTTTGCCGTGTTTGGCACAAAATATGACGGATGAAGGTACAATACATTCAACACATCTGGCTGAAGTGACACTATGTTAGCCTACTGCTTGACCTGTGGATATGTAACACTTTCAGTTTTGCGAGCTGTATTTACAGCTGTTCCCTACTGGTTGAAGCTGTTTATCTTTTGTATTGTCCTCGAGTTAGTCGCTAGACATATAGTGAGATCCAATTCAGTACTTGAGTTCGCGAATCCCGGCTGCCCTTGCCAGTGACTAACCAGTCCATGTGAAGGGGCCTTTTTCCACTTCTATCCCTCCCCTGTCCGCCCGTCATCTTTGCCTTTCGACTGTGTTGCCTTTAAATTGCGCAGAGACATTCACTGAATGAACGAGTTTATTACCATGTCTGACACGCGCTTTACTGGGTTCCAAAACCCAACACAACAATTCCATTAGCAGATTGTGCCTGGCCAAAGGACATGTCTCCCTAGACCTTTCGCGAACACGTCATACTGACTGCTGTAGATCGCCATTTGCAAGCGAGAAAACGTGTGCAATGCTTCGCAGCTCAGTCTCCAAACGTCATTTCGATGGACGATGTAGAACACAAACGCGGCAAAAGTAGCGAGCGGAAAAGTCAGTCTAGGGCCGTCGCAGCACCTCATGCAATTCCACAAGGAACTGCGTCGTCGCGATGCGTGGGACATTTCTGTTCGGAGCTAATGTTCTGGGAGTTTTGGGCTGATATAATGTTTCTCAGACGGTATTGTCATAGTGGTGGTCCTTTCCATCGTCCACAGTCACTTTCAGAGAGGGAACATTACTGGTAAACAAAGTCGTAATGTCAGTCATGGGCAGTCTCGCTTCTCAGTCACAGACTCAGATAATGTCACGGTCAGTCTCAGTCACGGTGAAATCAGTCACTGCTATTCACAGTCCTGGGGTGTTCACGGGCACCGCACACTGCTGCGTGCGGTGTGTGCGGTGCGTCCAGCAGGCGTGGGGGTAGGGGATGGGTAGGCGGGTCTGACGTCACGGCTGCGTGCGGTGGACGGTCCGCTGTGGCCAGTCCCGACCGGCCACAGCGATCGCTGTGTGCGGTGACGGAAGGCTGACGTAGGGACGAAGTGGGCGGAGCTTCGAGGCTGTGTGCGGTCCGACCGCACACAGGGTCCGTGAACAGCCCTTAAGTCAGATACGTTCACAATCAGCCACAATTTTAGGTGTCAATCAGTCGTATCATCACCTTACAGCATCTAATATCACTAGTGGAAGAGCACATCAGTCGCTTGCGGCACCGACAACCGCCGATCTCAACATCTAGCCGACGGGGTGGCCTCGCAGTTTGCGCCCTCTCCTTCCTTGCACATTCGGCTCGATTGGCTAGTTCACTCTTATTGCAGCTAGCCATATGATTGGGCCAATGAAGCACAACTTCGCTTAGTTCAATGCCTAAACCGACCACCGGTTTCTCTGTGCATGTCGTTGTAGCTGTGAATTGCAGATGACGTCATCACGACCTAGATGACGTCACGGGATACACGACTGCCATCGCTGTCTTCACTCGCATTACGTACAGTTGTGCACAGGTTGCTTGGGTTGAAGCTGCACTAGAGGCACACAATCTTGACAAGACGGAATGACTGACTATTCAGCGAATGCGCCTAGCAGAGCACACATTGCCACACGAGTGTTACCAAATCCAGTTCATTCGATAAACTGGAGGACAAGGAAGTATTGACGCTTACACTACTGGTTTGACATGGGGCATATTGACACGACAATCGGTCATTCAAGCACTGATCGACTGATAGTGATCACTTTTATCACACATTTGCGAACCTGGAACAACACACGACATACAAAGAGAAATGACACTGGATGAAAATGGTGTTAGGATATGCCGGATTACCGAAATTCGTAGGCCGAGTTTAGAGAGGAATCATTTACTGTCTGGTGCCTGGGTAAATTGCCATCAAACGACATTAAAGTCGAGCCTAATGGATGCAATTTTTACATGAGTAGATATGTGTTGGCCACGCAATGTGGATATGACCAAAGAGAGTCCAAAGTTGAAGAGGAGGAGAAGAAGAAGGGACAGTAAGTGGGAAAACGATTCATTTACAGTCACCATTCAAGCCACTGACATGAGCTGACGAGAGCTCACAGCGACTCACATCACCCAAAACTCACAGCGCCTGCGTGCACGACTCACAGCACTCTCAGAGGCACAACTCAACTCACCAACTCCGGCACAACGCGATTCACCAACTCCGAGTGACAGACAATCGACATACAATGGACCACACAAGCATCGCTTCGCTGCACAGCGCTATGAGCGGAATTAGCCGTCAGTTCTGGAACATTCACAACGTGAAAGGACTGAATATCCGTCAGTCAAACGCAGCCGGCTCCGAACTTTCAGAAAAAGCACATTCCAGAAATTGAAGAAACATGACTGTAGGTCTCACTTACGGATTTTTTTTTAACTTGATGACTGCAAAATTTCACTTATCAAGTTCTCAACAAGGTAGGTGCTGTCTCTTCGCCGCTTTAATGCCGTAAACACATCCAAATAAGCATGGATTCGCTATCACTAGCTTATTAATCAACACACATCAGTCACTGGAAGAAAACCCACACGCTTTCGTCCAAACAAAACGTTACGTAACGCTACGAACATGTAACGTAGCTTTCCACCCTTCGCTGTCCAAGCAAAATGAAACGAACAGCTCCGTTGTCCGAATGTTCAACACGGTCTTGAAACTATCCCTTCACAACAGACCTCCTACTGGTCATGTCTTGCCGGTCTTCTATTGGACCCGGCACTTCATGGCTTCCACGGGTCTTCATCCCAAAGTGTGTATAGCCTCGTACTAAACAACACTCACGATGACCGTCTACCCACTTAAACTCCACGAATGTCCCCGGGACTTCAAAATACCGGTCACAGATACCTTCACACTAGTGTCTTACCATCTCATTCCCGTTTTCATTTCTTCAACACACCTCTTTACCTGTTGTCCTGTGCCTAACACAGCACCGCCCGGCATCCACGGCACGGCACTAACCTTGTCCCACACCACTGCACGTACCAACCGTAGTATTTAGAAGCAACAGCAACGACTGGTGCCAATGCCAGGGACATCCCTCTCTTGTGGTGACGCAGAGGCGTTCCGAACGACAGCATCCTAGCGAGGGCGGCCGGGCGGCGGGGGTGGTAGCGTGGGTGGTTTCTCTCAGCTTTGTCGCATCCTCCACACACAGAAGGTGACCGCCAGCGCTGTGACGGTACAGTGGAGCAGTTTCCGACTGGAGTCGTCCCGTCGGACCAGTACCACCGGGGAGCCGGAGCTCAGAGAGTGCAGAGGCAGCCTGCGGGAGGGGGGAGGTAGTTTTGTTAGTATTCAGACAGAAAGACTCAGGAAGTGGAGAGATAGTTCATAGCGGACAGGAAAAACTGGCAGCATTGATGCAGCTAAACTTTGCACTACACCGTGCAATTTTCCGTTACGTTACCGATCGAAAACCCTCGCCTCACCGCAACAACACAAATAACCCCCACTGCCTCGGCGCCGAGCACCGCCTTTGTAACTCACTTGAGCAGCTTGCTGGCGTCGTGTTCGACCTGGTACTTGCAGCAGGGGTCAAACTGCCAGCTGATGGTGTACAGGGCCGTACAGAAGAGCGACAGACCGGCGCACGGTACAGAGACCACCGGACGCTCTGTCCAGATGGCACCTGTGACAGGGGGGGGGGGGGCGTATTGTTAAAAACGCAGCTACAGTAGGCAGTAGGCGCATGGGACACTTCTGCCCTGAGCTCAGGCTCACCGAGTGATGTAGTTTGGAATTGAGCATTAGGAGATATCCAACAGCCGGTGAATAGACATAGTCATTGATACCATTAATTCGGGAGTCGTACTGTACTGATGTCGTCGCATACCTGAAAGGACAGCTCCAATTCCCGACAGCACCGCAGTCTTGTGAAGGAAGTTTCCCACGTTTATCCACCTGAAAGATAACAATGAAACCGTAAATAAGAAATGTTTTATGAGACGACGTCATAAGACGACAAAAATGGTGGTTTATTTGAAATTTAACCCTCACTGTCGCTTACATCATACTTTTTGTAACAGCCTGGATCTCAAACAACTTTTTATCATCACCCTTGACACCAATAATTAACCTTCGCCCCAGTGGGGGGGGGGGGGGCATATGTTACCACCCTGTCGCGTTTTTTGCGTATAAAAAAAAACCGCGGCGCGTAGCGCCGCGCCGCTTGGCATAGCTTTTCATACATCAATTTTGGACAATGTGTGAAATTTTTGACCCCAGGTCATGTCAGGTCAGGTCACCAGGTCAAGTTAACTGACCAGGCCTAAAAAAAAGTTTGTAATCATGTCCAGCCTGCAGTGTTTGTCAGAAAGGTTTTAAACTTGGTGGATTGCATGATGTTATGGGCGCCTACAATTTGTATATCTCGGATTTTTTATATCCGTGACCTAAGGTCAGGTCAGTGGCGTGACCTTACCATTATAAGTCAATGGAGAAAAATTGAAATGCCTCTAGTTCCGTGTGTACGCATAGGAACAGTCCAAATATTTCAGAATCACAATGATTTGGACCACCCGTGACGACCAAGGTCTCTTTTTTGCTGATAGCCTCTAGGAAGGTCATCCGAGGTCATTTGAGGCTGCAAACAGCTTTTTGCCAATAACTCTCGATTGGAAAGAGATAGGACGCTGGGGATGGCCTCATTGTGTTTGTCTTGTTGAGACGCATCGAATGATATGCAACATGACCTTTTCCGGTCAGGTCATGACCTTGACCTGAGGTCAAATTTTCAAGTTGACCTTTCAAGGTCAAATTATAGTTCATTCGACGCGTCTCGGCAAGAGGAACACGAATCTGGCAATAGAAATGTCGTGGCTTTTTCTAGTCAAAAGTTATTGTCGAAAAACACTTTGCGAAAAAACAGCTACTTTTTTAGTTTTTGCCCTCTGGAGGCTAAACCGTTGACCTGAGGTCAATTTTGATGATGACCTTATCAAAAGAAGAGTTCAAAAGCTATCGATTGCTTTTCCATGCGTTTTTCTAGCTATCATAGTTCCTGAGATAAATGCATGTTTTCTGAGAAATATAATGACATTTGGCAAATTTTGACCTTTGATGACTTCCAGTGACCCCAATATTGCTCTAAGGTGAAAAATGACCGAAATACTTTCAAACGTACGCATTGAGAGCTATCGACTGCTTTTTACCGCGTCTTTCTAGCCCTCTTAGTTTTTGACTTAGAGGTGGGTGGTAACATATGCCCCCCCCCCCCCCCACTAGAGCGAAGTTGGCTGAGACCGCCACTGGGGCGCGGGTTAAGCATAATCAATTACCACCATTATAAAAGAAAACATGTTTTAAATGCCATCGATCTCCTGGTCTCCACCAATCCCCCATCTCCTCTCACTAACCTGGCAGTCTCGTCGCCCAGCCGGGCGGGCTCGATGATGATGGTGTGGCAGCGGGCGTCCAGGGCACGCTCCAGCTCCACCTCGAACCGCTCCTGGTCCTGGTTCCCCTGGTACAGCTCGCGGATAATGGCCACATCTTCCGGCCGGGGGCCGTCCCTGCTCGCGGGGGGTGGGGGTCAGCAATGGGTCTGAATGGGCCAAGAGAAATTAGCAATGGTTGGGAATGGTTTATGTTGTCTAGAGGGATCATATTGGCTCTACACCTCCCGAAAGGCCAGAGAGGTGAGTCTTAGTTTGACGGGGATCAGGAGAAACTTTGAGGATTTGATAAACCTAAAGGATTAGGAAGGGTTTGGACTGCAGGGATACGGAGCCGTGAAAATTTCAGACGGCTCTGGCTTCGGCTCCGGAGAAAAAATCGGCTCCAGCTCCGGCTCCGGCTCCGGGTGAAATGTCACGGCGGCTCCGGCTCCGAGTAAAATGGTCCGGCTCCGGCGGCTCCGGCTCCGACTCAGCACATCTCCTATGCGCAGGGATGCGGAGCCGTGAAAATTTCAGACAGCTCCGGCTCTGGCTTCGGAGAAAAAATCGGCTCCGGCTCCGGCTCCGGGCAAAATGTGCCGGCTTCGGCGGCTCCGGCTCCGGCTCCGCATCCCTGGTTTGGAGGCTTCAGTAATCAGTAGGATGGGTTTGAATGGATCAGCATCAGTCTGGATTTTGAAGGATTTCCTCTAGGGCCATGTTTAGAGAGAACAGGGGTTTGAGGGTTCAGGGGCTTATTTAGGGGTTATTTAAATATATGATTGCCAAAAGATGATAGAAAAAAACAAGATAAGTTGCTGGAATCGATGCAATTTATGAGGATAGGGTCGTATGTCAGTGTTAGGTAAGAAAAGGTACCCAGGGATGTCAGTAACTACAGCAAGGATGGGAGTGCTCTGACAATATGAAGCATAAAGGTGGTCAAAGTACTAGAGCAGAGAAGGGATCAAGGAGAGAAAAATGAGTAGTGGGCCAGGGAACTGTTATGGGGTTAGTCAGGTATAGGAAGGTGGCAATTATGTAAGGTTGAGGTTGAATGTGGGAATTACCGAAACATCATTTTTTCTATTAAGTCGATTACTGAAGTTTGCATATCCACATGCATGCCTGCATGGGGAAATATGAATAAATACACCATTTGTTGATAGACGTATCAATGACGGATCACTATTCAATAATAAAACATAAATTTTGCTGTCGTCAAATTACTTTAAATGAATAACAGCAGATATAGGTACTCACCCAATGTTTAGAGCATATTCTGCCATCGTAGAGACTTAAAGTCAGTTTGACCCTTCCAGGATATTGAAGGTGGGTGAACCTGCGGACAAAAATAAAATAAATTGCCCTATTTGGTCACTAATACATTCACAAACTACTATGCTGTTTGAAGCGGCAGTGAAATATGTAACTGTGGCAAAACAAAGTCCACAATATGTTTTATTGTTATTTGTCCACTTCTATGTTGGTCGAAACCCGCAAACGGCGAAAAAAAGCACAATAAAATGCCAATTATCATACGAAAAATATTTCCGGAGTCCGGACCGGTGGCAACTCCACAACTTCATCCATAATGTAGTAAACGTATCCCATCGTTTTATATCGTATCAATGATGTTTAAATAAAATAATTCCCTAATTTTACTTTTAAATGCTTTATTTCTTTTGTGTACATTCTTTACAGATAAGTTTGTTTTATTAAAATATCTTGTAAGATTTAAAGACATGATTTTTGACAAAATAAAAGGAAATGTTATCAATACGTCATCAAACTTCACGTCAAAAGAGCGTAGGCTAGCGCTATGAATGTAGCAGTAGCGCCAAATCGTTAATTGCGTTTATCAACACAAGGCACAGAGAAGACTAGAAGACACGTGGAGTGAATTTGAATTGAGGAGGGGAATGTTGATCTCTTTTTGGGATAAGCAGGATCACTGTAATGAAGCTGTGGTAAATTGAAGAACATTGATTAGATCCTACATATCTCTGTAAGACTGTTGTCACCATGGATTTTAAAGGTAGGTACCTACGTTTTTACATGAGCACTGCAATTAACCTAAAAATTGAAATGTTTTAACTCAATACCTACTGGTATTAGATATTGATTGATTCTGTAATTGGCGTAGCAATCATGAATAACTTCAAAGGCTGGCACTCCGATGTCAAAAAGGCGACCAAACAATGCATTGATTGAAATTCTGAGTTAGTCTTTTTGACCAGCACCATTCCGCACCCAATCTGCACCACACCACAGTATCTGCATTGCACCCAGCACTGGCTGAGTGCCTCAGTTCCAATAGGCTCATTGAAATTGACATGCTTTGCAGTTTGATTGCATGGGTCTATGACAGCTTTATCACTAGGCATTGATATTCCAGTGCCCATGTACTTACCTGCCCATTCACTTCATTTTTCAGTGCTGCCTGTGAAGTTCTCGGAGCAGAGTGAAGCGGTTCACTATCTGTTCTACAAACAGCACACTGTGAGGTCCCCAGTGCCGGAGAAGCCATCAGATCGGACGCTGTTTGTTATCAATGTTCTGCCGTATATGGATGAGGTGTGTCCAAAGATGTTTGCTGTATAAGCAAAGTGGATCATGTCATAAATTGGTCAAAAAATTATGTACCTATTTTACATTTTTAAGCTATTAGTTTGCTGCCATTGTGTATTCATATGCTGGTAGCAACAATCAGTGGCTCTTTCATTTATCAGCTCCAGAAATGTTTCAGTCACTTTAACGTTGGCTGCTGCAAGGGCTCACTCTTCACATCAAACACCTATCACATTTTATAAACAACTTAATTTTGCTCATTTCCCAGGCGAGCCTGAAGCGTCTGTTTCGCGACTGCGGCAAGGTGCGGCGCGTCTACATCCACAAGAAGCCGACGCCGGGACTGCCGGAGGCCGACTCGTCCCGGTTCTTTCCCACCGTGGAACCCGTGGTGGTGAGTTGATCAGAATCATTCGGGCCTGAGGTGCTGGACTGATTTAGCGCGTCTGGCTTTATCCTTCTGTGTTAGTGTTGAATTTGAAATGCCAGAACTAAACCGTGTGAGATGGCAGCCGGCAGGGTTGAGCAATGCGAGTAGACGCTTAGCAATTTTTTGCGATAGAAAAACTGATTAGGTAGGTATCCGCGTTATCGGTTGAAAAACCGCGAAGAAATCGTTTATTTGTTCTATTGATGGGCGAAATGCGGTGCTCTGCAGTAACGGTACGTCGATAAGTACAGTGATGTGATTTACTCTTCAGTTGATGATTGATGAGAGACTGTTGCTAATCGTAAGTCAGTGCGGGGGAGGGGGTATTTTTGACGATGTGTTGGCCAGGCTACCTCGTGGATACCGTGCAATCATTCTTCAAGTGTCCCTGATGTTTTTGTTCCGCTCTACAGGGTTACAAGGTTGCCTATTGTGTATTCACTAAACCGGAAGGACTACAGAAGGCGCTGTCTTTAGACCTCAGCACAGAGTCGGCGCCGAGGGTTCTATCGACAGAGCAGCACCCGCTGCAAGTGGGCGTAGTCAGTAAGTCACGTGATCATAGCGGAGTTTCGACTGAGCAACACCCAATGTATGCGGGCGTACCCAGAAGTCACGTGATTTATCGCGGCTTTCCACAAAATGACACTAATTTTACTGGGGTGTGGTCAGTAGGTCACCGAATTCGCGTTTTTTATATTTAATTTCTTTAAAGAATAACACCTTCTCCATATTGTGGACATGTTCTGTTATGTTTCACTCCATTGTCACGTAAGTTCACACTAATGATGCAATGACGCCGCGTCGTGAGTCGATTTCCCGTTACTCTTTACTGACTCTGTCGCTCGCTTATCGCACAGAATGGCAGCAGGAGTACAACGACTCCGTGCTGGACGAGGAGGCGCTGAAAAAGGAGGTCGATGAGTACATGGCGGAGCACGACGCGCGAGTGGCGGAGGTAAGACCCTCACTTGGCTCATGTCGGGTGTTTGGGGCCGCGGGGATTTGCGATGATGGGAAGATGTGAATACCCAGACAGTCCTAACCGAGGGAAGTGTTGAGATTTGATCGACGGCGGACTGTCGCTCACTGACTGGGTCTGTCACAACGCCGGGTCAGGATGGAAATGGTCGAAGGGCGTGCTCAAACAAGAGTGGAGCTTTTAATGGGGAGGTTGGACATAACTATCTAAAAGACACCTAATGACGAAAGATGCGTGGCGTCAGACATGCTCGAGACGTAAACCCAATGGACTCGTCCTAATCGTACCCGCCCCGCCCCCCACAGGAGATTCAGAAGGCCCGCGAGCAGGAGGGGCAGCCGGACTCGGACGGCTGGGTGCTGGTCACACGACACTCCAAACGGCCCGTGGCGCGGCGCACCGAGGGACTCGACCAGAGGCTCAAAGAGAAGATGAAGAAGAAGAGACAGCGGCAGCAGATGGTGAACCTCTACAACTTCCAGCTGAAGGATACCAAGATGGAACGTGAGTAACCAAGGGGGAAGGGTGGATGACAAGAGACAGAGATTCGGGAAAGATAAACGAGAAGGGATAGGCGCTTGGTGGCTTGGATGTTATCGCTGAGGCGATATTATTACGACCATTGTATCATCATTCATCATTAATGATAATACGTTACACGTATTATCATTACACGATCACGATCACGTGATTGTATATATGTGATTGCACGTGATTTAATACGTGATTGTAGTTGGACGCCATGATTGTAGGCGTCCCAACTACAATCATTGTAGTTGGGACGCTTGAGCCCCAATCAGCAGGCCGTTGACGGTTAGACGCTGTTCCAGTAGAAGAAACGGCGCTGGGGAATTTGTTTGCGAGTTTTTTTAACGGTTTGGCACCGGACGGAACGTAAAGGAGGAAACCGCAGGTCATTTGAAAATTGACAGACACTTTTCGTTAGAATTGTGTTTTTTTTTTCAATGGAAATCTCGCAGTGTACGGACTGGATATTTTTTAGTAGACCATGACAAGTGCGGGAGTGTGTGTATGATAACAATTGATTGCAAATTGACTGCGTTAGTTTTACTGAATGCACGTCTTTTCCTATTCTCTACGTCTTTTGGCTGGTTCCTCTGCTTTTTGTGCTTTTTATCATTAGCAGTTAAATTGTTTCTTATGGTCTTCTCATCGGAGAAGTCATAGGTTCTTTATTTTAACGCATCACCTGTCTGTTTCAGAACTGGCGAAACTACGAGAAAAGTTCGAAGAGGACAAACGCAAAATCGCCAGCATGCGGGTGCAGAGGAAATTCAGACCTTATTAGCTGTTCTCGGGTCTACGTTATGTTTTGAATACACGTAAATCGCATCTATTGGGACTTGTTTGAGTTTCGTTGCCATCTCATCAATGCCTGATGCATGCGGATACAATAATCGTACATACAGTGAGATTTACTGCAATGATTAATCCATCCGCGATTTTTACAAGGGAGCGGCAACGAATCGCCGGCTTCGTTGACCGTCGACATGATTTTGAGCGGTGGGGTGGGTGGTTGAAAATACCCAGACTTTTTTTTACAGTTGATGGATTTCCACAGCTTATTGCACCAATTTGTGTTTTGTTTTAGCACACATTCGTGCTTTGAGAAGTGAAGGGATTTGGCTCTTTGTGCCGGAGATTTGGTAGTATTTACCCTTATATGGCAGCCCCGAATTTAGTTTCAGATATGGCGCATATGAGACAGTTCCTCTGTCGACTGTTTACATTTCAGCCGCCGTACAAATGCATGCATTGCTCCGGGCGGCCACCCCTTTGCCCTGGATGTGCCTGCGGTGGGTGGACTGATTTTCTGACGTCTGTTTTCACTCATTTTATAGGTAAGCTCTTCAGTAGTTTCAGTTAAGTTTATAATGCGTGAGATGTGCGTCACCTATGGACGATTTGATCGTCACGTCTAACATTTCATCATGAATATTTCATCGGAATTCTAACCTTCAACCTTGCCATGACCTTCATGATATATTTCTGCAGATGAATTTTGCAGAAAAATATCATGAATTTTATAATGTTGAAAGTGACTGTGATAGTAAAAAGGTGGGCTAGATTGCTGGTAAATGTGCAGACTGCAGACCAAGACATGATGTTGATGAACGTAATCAGTTAAATTGTCTGAGCTCTGCTATTTTTGTAACACACTTTGGTACTTGAAGAACATGTGTATTATAAAATATATTTTTGTTATATTTCTTGTTGAATTTCTACATGTTTTGATGGTGTGCAAATCCCTTGACATTGTTCCTTATGCGACTGCTTTGTGTATTGCTGAGTTAATTGTCTCTAATTCCCCGCAGAAAAAGTAGCCACTAACCAGCCCGCCATGGCCAATGAGGCTCGCATCTCCAAGTGGTACTTTGGTGGACTGGCATCAGCAGGAGCGGCATGCTTCACCCATCCATTGGATTTGCTCAAGGTGCATATCTCTCGTCATTGATTCATAAGTATTGTATTGTATTGTATTGTATTTATACTGGAAACTCTCCACAGGTGGCTATTACGAGCCCAGTTAACATGGCGATGCATTGACAGCACAACATACATTTGCAAACACACATACATGTAATGA